TGAAAAATAAAACTTCTAGTTATATCAGTTAACAGAATTGTATGACAATATTTGATTATTTTTTTAACTTTAATGTCAGTATTTTTAAGAGTTCGTATGTTTATTTAATATATAATTTACTTAATGTTTTATATTTATATTTCTTGTAATTTTACCAAGTTTTTGTAGTTGTGAAAAAATTGGGCAGCGGTTTTTTTCGGGCGAAGCCAAAAATTTTGTGATTTGTGGAATAAAAGCTTTTTACGTTGGGCGCCATTTTGTAATAGAAGAAAAGGACGGGGAAGCGGCGGTGAATGGATATTTTAAATAAGTATGAAAACGGCTCTTAATCGGGGTGTGCATGTGTGTATGTTTACTACAAGGGCTCACTTCCTGCCTCTAGACTTACTATTACACAGTGTTATAATATTGTATACAGTACATACCTTGTCGTGGAGTCACTCGAAGCTCTATGACCTTGTCGATATTCCTTGAGTATGTGATCTTGATATGTCGAAATGAACGTTGTTTTAACACGAATGTTTTCATTCATAAAATATATTTCAGACACTGGTGTTTTAACGTTATCTTACGACCATCTATCTCTCGTTAAAGTGTAATTCAGTACACGGTCTACCAATGGTATTATAATAATCAGTGCGCTTGTCAGAAATAACCACGTCTACTGAGTTATTATAAGCCGACTACATTCCTTGCTGACCAAAAATAGTCACATGGGTGTAATAGGATTGTTCGACCGCTAGAATTAATGACCTTTAACGACACTTTTAAGAGGTATAGGTATAGGTATATGTATGAACGAAAGAACAACAGTGTTTTTATTGCTTAATAATGACACGTGTGTGATAAGAAACTCGTACGGTTTTAAGTAATTGAATTGTAATGAATATAGTATTTTTATATATATATCGCTACGGACTCGGCGTATGTATGTGTAAGGATAATAAGGAAGGATTATGTTATTGGTGGCCGCGGCGGACTGATAACAGCTACCCGACTTTGGCGTCCACACAATAAGGAAAGGAAAGATATTGGTGGCCGCGGCGGACTGATAACAGCTACCCGACTTTGGCGTCCACACAATAAGGAAAGAAAGGATATTGGTGGCCGCGGCGGACTGATAACAGCTACCCGACTTTGGCGTCCACACAATAAGGAAAGAAAGGACATTGGTGGCCGCGGCGGACTGATAACAGCTACCCGACTTTGGCGTCCACACAATAAGGAGAGGAAGGTTGTAAGAGAGATGTGAGAGAGCAACTGCGCTTCGCTGCGCTGTGGGCTGGGTTAAATAGTGCGTTTCTGTGTTGGTTAAGTTCGTCTCGGATAAGTTCGTGTCGAGTCGTGTGTTTAACTCCTTCTTTAATGAACCTATTGTTATGTAAATGTTACGCCTAAAATGAGTATGTACGCTATCTATTAGAGTATTTTAAGTTTATTGAAATTATTCAAAGAGGTTCTATATCACACTACGCGCGTTGTATATTGAATAATAATAACATGATAGTTATATAAAAATGTCACATATAGTATAAATTTGAATATATAATATGTTATTACAAAATGATAGTTTAATAAATATAGTTAAAACTTAAACATATGCTTTATGTTACTACAATTAGTATGCAATGAATTTATCTCGTCGTCCATGGCTAAAATCCAATCATTTTTATTCTGACAGCTCACAGCTTCTTTATAGTTAATCGGTTCTGTAATACACGACGTAATATATGCATATCTGGCCGGTTTACGCAATTGACCTCGATCGCGAAGATTGTAACTTGGTAGTTCTGTTGGCGTGACTTCGAGTTGTTTTTCTGGTTGTACCTCTACTGCCTGAGGTGTTTCCTCGTCGACATTATAATCTTGACTTACATTTTCGCTAAATGTTAATTCATTAGTATTTATTTCTTTTTTAAACACAACATCTCTATAATCTCTTATAGTTTTAGTTTTTGGACAATAAGCCCTATACCCACGTTTATCTAAAGAATACCCGACAAAAATACACAATTTACTTTTAGCGTCCCATTTTCGTCTCTTGGCCTTTGGAATATGAACATACATTTCTGTTCCAAATACCCTTAAATGCCTTATATCTGGTTCTTTATTGAAATAAAGCTCATATGGACTTTTACCTTCAACAGTACTCTTACCAGTAAGATTGAGTACATACACTGATGTATTAACTGCTTCTGCCCAAAATGATAAGTCCATCTTCTTTGAATGAAGTAATGTTCGTGCTGCTTCCACAATAGTTCTCATTTCACGTTCCGCCCCAGAATTTTGCTCTGGTGTGTACGCTATTGTTTTTTCATGTCGAATGCCATATTTCTGCAAAATACTTGTTACTTCTTTAGAAACAAACTCTAAACCATTATCACTTCTAAAAGCTTTTACTTTATTCCCAGAATCATTTTTAACAGATCTTATAAATAACTCTAATTTATTTTTGACCTCATTTTTATTTTTCAAGTAAAAAACCGTCCGATAATGTGTGTAATCATCCTTGAACAATAAAAAATATTGGGACCCGCCCAGAGAAATTTTTTCAAACGGTCCGCATAAATCTGCATAAATTAACTCTCCGGTTTTACCCGATGTAGTCGAACGACTCTTAAATGGCTTTCTCGTTTGCTTCCCAATAACACAATTATCGCAAAAAAACTGGTTCCAATCACCGCTTACATTTATATTATGTTTTAGCAAACAAGATTTTACGTACTGTTTACATTGATGCCCTAGTCGTTCATGCCAAAGTTGAATGGAATCCGCGATTGCCGCATTCACTTCCATTTGTCCGTTACCTTGCTCGGTCAATGTCATGTCGTCGGCTATTTGCTGTACAATCTCAATGTTCATATTGTATAACCCGTTTTTGCGTTCACCAGTGCAAACGACCTTATTGTTTTTCAAAAAAATACACTTTTTACTGTCTGATTCCAACTTCAAACCTTTATCTAATGCTTTGCCCGTACTAAATAAATTATACTTTAAATTTGGTACATATAACACATTAGACAAATAATTTGTATTCATGTTATTTCCCACATAACATATTATGTTAATATTTCCCGAACCTTCTGCCTGTAAATTTGTACCATCGCCAATCCTTATTTCCACTGGCGACCTGAATTTTTTATAGTTCACAAACCACTCTCTGTTGCTTGTCATGTGTTCAGTAGCTCCTGAATCCAAATACCATTGATTCTCTTTGCGATCAGTAACCAAAGATTCACTATAGAACGCTTGACCTGTTAAACTTGTACTTGGCGAATCTGATTTCGCCTCACCCTGATCCTTCTGGTACTTTTGATACTTCTTGCAGTCTTTCTTGAGATGACCTAGTTTCTTGCACCAAAAACAGGGACCTATCTTTTTAGTATTATTATTACTAAAATTACGTTCATTACCAACATTACCACCATTCTTCTTAAAAAATTTCTTTTGAAATCTTTTGACAGTCAAAGCATTGGATTCCTCTGCTTCAACTTCTGAACCTCCTTGAGACATTCTCGATTCTTCTATTAACAACCGAGATGTAAGTTCATTTAAATTTTTACTTGCTTGAGGTACACTGTCCCATGCACTGTAAAAATGTTTATAAGATGGCGGTAAAGTCATAAGAATTTTAGTTAGCAACATATTGTCAGAGATTTTCTCTCCCGATAGAGCGAGTTGGTTTTGAAGATTCTGTAGTTTACTGATATGCGTCGAAATGTCATCTGTAGGCTCTTTTACATAACTGAAAAATTTATTTTGTAATAAATGTATACCTGCTTCAGATTTTTGCTCGTAGATACTTAATAATTTGTTCCACATATCATATGCTGTACTACAATTTAGCAAATATTGTAACGGTCCATTTTCCAATGACGTGACGATTAATCTTTGACATTTACTATCAGCCCTTGACCACGCTATTCGTTCTAACTGAAACCTTTTCTTGGCATCCTCTTCTTTCTCGGAGGTTGCTATTGTATATACTGGCTTTTTATAATCTCCTGTAATTATACCGCTTACCTCAAATGAATTAATTATTACCTTCATTTGAAACTTCCAAAGTGTCCAGCCTTCCGAGTTACTCAGCTTTGTAATCTTCAGTGACTCGTCCATAGTTAAAAGATAACGTACTTAAAAATAGTACTTACTGAACAATTGGAATAAGTGAATTTTAACTACATAAAATACTTAGCCTTCTGATACTCCACTGTTGTGCCTGAGACTATGTGTCTGGGCCAATAACCTATTGCGATATACGCCTGTATATCTTGGTGGAAGTTAGTATTTGAGTAGAAAATAAAACACAACAATAATATGTTTAACACAATACTATTAAATATAAAAAAAACACACACAGTATAGAGAATAATATATATACAACGTACGTTTCAACTATAACAGCAGCCGTAATAGAATGGTAAATCCAACACCTTAATACTATGTCTTATATACTATACAATCTAGGTTACAGACGTAATTGGTCCTTGTATAAACAACTTAAATATTACTCATGATTTCATCAGTGTACACTTATAATACCATATAAGGTTATATAATAATTATTACTTATCCATGACCCAAATAAACAATATTAATTATATTCAATAGGATGATTTTCAGATGTATCCGTATCAATGGTTGTTGCCTCTAGACATTCTATTTAACCGTTTAACATTTTGATTTCTGTGTTCGTTTAACTGTTTTTATTAGTACTACCAGACATTTGAATAAAACTCAAAAAAACTAAAGAATTGACTGAACGTTTAATATTTCACTTATTTATTAATTATCACTGTTCCGTAAACATTTTAAAAGTAAGAACAAAACGAGTTAAAATGCAAAACTACAACAGGTTTTTTTATGAAAAAAAAATATTTTGAGTTACGGCACTTGCTTTGCAGGGCAGCTGTATTATAATTTTTCTAGTTTTTTTTATTTTGCATTGTGGCTACACTGTTAATGTAAAACCATACGCCTCATATGATTTCGGCATTGTGATAACAAAATTTATAATATGACCTTTTGATTTCGATTTTCTACTTTGCTGCATTTTGCTAAGGTTTTTTCCTAAATTTTTTACTCTATCAATACGTTTTTATTTAAAATTACGATGGCTTCCACGAAGTTCAACATGCTTGTAAGTTTGTTATTTTCTCTGTTAAGCGATTAATGACTAATTGTAATTGTTAAATATTTGACTTTGCAGGTGAGATCGTTGAGCACGACCACAGCCCAAGGATTGGTCAAAGTATGTTGTTCTCCATTTCTGAATTTCTTTTATTAAATTATAAATGTTTAAGTTAAATTTGATTTTTCAATAATTTTATCGTTTTTAGCCTCCTGTTCAAGTTTTTGGCATTGAGGGACGTTACGCCTCGGCCTTGTTTTCGGCTGGAAGCAAACAAAAACAATTGGAAGCTATAGAAAAAGACCTTGTCAAATTTCAAGTAAATTTTTATTTTTATTTATGAAAACAAAATTTAAATAAATATATGATGAGGTTATGTTACATGTTTTTTCCTAATTGAAAATACATTAACAATCTTATCACAAATGTTAATTCAACTATACCAACACGTTAAATTTCAATGATTCTACCATTTGTTTAATTTTTTTATTTTAAGACTGCGTTGAAAAAGGACAGTGTATTAAAGGAGTTCATAGAAAACCCCATCAACAAACGTGCCTTAAAGGCAAGCACTCTGAAATTGGCATCTACAAAATTATCGCTTTCACCACCATCGTCCAATTTCTTAAGTATGTATAAGTTTTGTTTTTAATTTATCAAAATATTGTTCAGTAATAATGGCGATTGAAAGTAAGGGCTAACAAAGTTGGGTAGGGGTAATTTGTACCAATGAATCAATTGTAGGTAAAAGATATCCCAGCGGACTAATTCAGTGACAAACTTTCAGTCACCATTACATAACATTTTGATGTTCTCTTGACATATATTTTTTTTATTGGTAAAATACATAAATATATAGATCACGCAATATGCTCTTTCGAATTTATTTTTCATCAAAATGGGTTGCTATAAAATTGCTTGCCGTAGTTTACCTATTACTGAACTATGTTTAATCAGCGCAAATGTTGAAAGTCAATAAATAGATTAAAACTAAATACATATACAATAAATGTATAGTTTGATTAAGAAATAGAATGATGGAAGTTACCATTAAAGTAATGTTATAATTTTTAACTGTCCAATGAAAATTTTAGATGCTCTTATTTTTGACTTGATCATTTAAAAAGAATAGTTAGACGTTAATCTAATCGGTTTACAAAAATTAAAGTAACTCGTAATTTTTAGGTTTGTTGGCCGAGAATGGAAGACTTAAGAAGCTCAATTCCATAATTAACAGTTTTCAAATTATAATGGCTGCACATCGAGGAGACCTCCCTTGCATTGTTACAACAGCTAAGGTAAAAATACACAAACTGTATTTAATTTGCATTTAAAAGAAAAAAATATTAACAGTGTATATTTGTTAATAGCCTCTGGACTCGGCCGATCAACAAGAGCTGACCAAGACATTACAATCGTTTGCCAAAAAGGGAGAAACGATTAAATTGTCTTTGAAGGTGGATCCATCCATTTTAGGAGGAATGATAGTCAGTATTGGAGATAAATATGTAGATATGAGTGTTTCTAAAAAAATCAAGAAGTACACTGAAATTATACAGAGTGCCATTTAAAATTTAAATGTTCATTATATAGTTTGGCACCGATATTTTGTTATTAGAATGATACGGATAAACATTTAGTGCACAATAACATTAAACAATTATTTAAGTTAATTATTATTATTATAATTTTTTTTTTTGTAATTGTGTGCCGTTCATAAATTCTGTAGAACATAAAAAAAATTATATTTTGTTTTGTCTTCTTTATTTGAAGTAATAATGTAATAAATTACACATGAAATGAAAAAAAACAACTGTATACGTTTTCAGCTAGTTTGTGGATTTGAAGGCTGAATTGTTTCACCACCTCGTATTAAGCCCCATCCAATAAGTCTGAAAACATTTTTTTTTAAATATTAATTCAAGTATAACAGGTGTAAACATTTAAAAAAAAAAATTAAATACAAACCTCCAATGTTTTTCAACTCGACGACTGAGTGAGATTTTTTCACCAATTTCCGTGCACACGGGCGTTGTTAAACTGATTTTAGCTAAATCAGCTTTGGTAGCCAATACTCGTCCTCCAGTTGATAGAGAACCAATATTTAACAAAAGTACTTCATTTTTCGATAACCTTTGAACCTGGGAAAATTAACATAATATTGTAAAAAACTTTATTTCCATCATACTTGCAGTATTTAAAAAAAAACTAACCTTGGCAGCCTTTTTGTCTCCTTCAGTGCGTACGCCCAGCAATCGTTTAAGCAAATAGTATGAAATTTCCAACTCGATAAATATATCCGGCAAAGCACCTACAGCTCCCAGAACTTGTCCCACAAGACGATCAGCTCGGCATAGCGTAGGTTCAATTTTTGTGCCGACACCGATCAGACCTCCAGGCACAGCGAAATTCAACTCGTTTTGTTCAGTATACAACGATACGATACGTGAAAAAATTGGCTGGCACGTCAATTTTCCTTCGCTGTCCTTGGACACCAGGCCCGGACGGACTTCGATTTCCATACCGACTTTGAGCACCCCTCGAAGGATACTACCACCAGCCACGCCTCCTTTAAGATCGTCCACTTCACAACCGGGTTTATTAACGTCAAACGATCGAACGACTATTAGACGTGGCGGTGACGTGAAATCTCTTTCGGGAATGGGAATTTTCTTATAGATATATTCACACAACACTTCCATATTGTATTTAAGTTGCGCCGATATCGGAATAATGGGCGCACCTTCCGCTACGGTTCCTTGAACGAACTTCTGTATCTGCTCTTGTTGCTCTTTAGCTTGACCTTCCTTAACTAAATCGATTTTGTTTTGCAATATAATCACATTGTTTAGTTTCATGATTTCTATAGCGGCTAAATGTTCGGATGTCTGCGGTTGAGGACATGATTCATTTCCAGCTAAAAATATATATATATATAATTCATGAAAACTCGTTATAATCAACAGTTGTGACAAATTGTTACAAACTTGTAACCCGTGGCTAAATATTTACCTATAAGTAGTAATGCAGCGTCCATGACTGCAGCTCCGTTCAACATAGTTGCCATAAGAATGTCGTGACCAGGGCAATCGACAAACGATACATGCCTAACTAGTTCAAACCTTCCTGGACAACCCGGTCTTGAACAGGGCAACGAATCATCTCGACCGGAACCGCCAGACACAAAACACGCAGGCCGCGGACACTTATCGTGGTTGCATTTATAAATTTTAGCATTTGCATAACCTGAAATAAATGATAAAAATACCAATGACCAACTATTAAACAATTCCTCATCGTGTTATAAATATAATATTATATAGAGTATTTGACACATTTGTCGTCCAGGTAAGTAAAATGAAATGTGTTCAAACATAAAGGTTTAAGAAAAATAGTTTACTCATGCTATAAATACAATAGTGTTTAATTTATCTTTATTTTAAAGATATATGAGCCATATCGTATGACACATAAACGATAGCTACAGTTTTACCAATTTGGTTTTGTACATGTACAGATTGTTTAGTTTCCATTGGTCTAATTTTAATAGCTCTCCTTCATCGATTCAAGTTCTACTCAAATAGGTTGTCGGTGCTATAAGGTCATTTATAGGACACTACACTATTGGTGGGTACTCGACAACAAATTTTACCTCATTTGGCTTTTACAAATAGTAGAAAAACATGATTGTTTTATACATACCATAACTAATTTACTTAGCAATTTGAAAGTGTTAAATGCCAAAAAAAAAAAAGCCTGAATAAAACATTTTTATTTAAGTTTTTATACGAAAATATTAATTTAAATACTAAAATTTATCCTATGGAGTATTTCTATTATAAACGATGATCAAATTACAAAATCTTAACCTGAAAATATCACCTCATCACATTAACTAATTACTTGCTAACTTATTACTGAATAAAATAGTATAGAAATAATTATTAAGATTTGGGCATCTAAAATAATAGTAATAACTAGAATTATTTAGTTTCACACGAGACATATTTTGTTTTATACAGTTTTAAACATAAGCAATTAATTTCTGAATAATTACAGACTCCATAATAGCAACAGAAACTTTTTATTAATATAAATTAAACTTACATTTTCAATTGAAAAATATGTTGTACAATTTTTTTGTTTTATACATAAATGTATTTTAGGAAAAAAAAAAATTATTAAAAATATAATTTTTTTAATTAAATAGGTAATATACCAAATTATGGTTTCAAAATAAAATAAATAAATGTTATAAACAAATTCCACATACAATATGCTGAATACCTAAGGTGTTTAAAAATAATAACTTTTACAGTCTTTGGAATCACATTTACATTTAACACCACTAGATTTTAACAAGTCTTCATCAACTCTTGCAAAGTAATCGGTCGTAAGCTGTTCGCCGATATTAATACTTCTGTTGGCAAATAACGCCAGTCGTGGTAGATTTCTGTCTAAACAATCGATCCATACGGCATAAAGCCCTAAGTTTGCATCACAGGAATGATTTATAAAACACGTGAAATTGGAATAATTGGAACCGTCGATGATGTATTTAAAATTTTGCGGATCGTCAAAGTCCAAGTTCCACATATAGTCTGACGACGAAGAACCATTCTCTATTCTCATTTCCGATTCTTCGACCGTGATGATCTCGCCAATGTATTCAGCTACGAATTGGCCTTTATTGATATTTTGATTGGCCTTAACAGCCCAACCGCATTTTTTTGTTTTGAATATGCAAACATCCACTTTGCTTCCAAGCTGAACTACTCTGTTGTAGCAGTTTGAGCTACACTTACATTTTTTGTTACATTCAAATACAGGGCAACCGGGCGATATTGTTATACTTTTAAATGAATTGTACACCGATGAATATCCAGACATTTCATTACAACAGTTATTAGATGACGAACAATTGCTGCTACAACTGCATCCGATCGGCGGGTCTTCTGGTACGATAATATTTTTATTAGTAATACTCTTGGTTATGTAAGTGAATAATTTCGGGGGACCTTCAAGATCGATATTGTTTTCCACATGAATTGTATGTCCCACAGAAACTGTATTAATATCCAATTCCCAATACTTCAAATCGAGTAACTGCTGTTGCCTAAAACTGCTCAAAGCAATGGTGGCCAAACACATTTTCAACGATTTTTTTCTTAATTTCTGTACTTGCTTGGATCCAATGTCGAGACAGTTGAACATACCCGATATTTCATCCGGCTTGAATAAAGGCAACGATAATCCAGAATTGGTTCTGAATAAATCAAACAAATTAGTAATTATTTTTCTTGACAACATTGGATGAACAACATTGGCTTGTTTGAATTCGTCTTTGCTTTTTTTCTTTTCATATATATATTCGAACAGAAGTTTTTGACACTTGTATAAAGCACCGATTCGCTCCCAAGTACAGAAGCCATTTACCCATTTTTTCCACTTCACCAAATACAAGCGAACATTATTTATTTCTCTGTCGTCAACGATCTTGTCAATTTCACTCGAGTCATAAGCATAAGCAATACTGTCGGGATCAATCATTCCGCCGTCCAACATAAAGTTTTTCACTCTACTATCGGAAGACAAGCAACTCAACATCACTTCATATTGTTCATCGTTGAAAGAAGTTATCGATGATCTTGAGTCATTTAACAAGGTATTTGAAGTTTGTCTAAAACTCAAGTCGCTACCAGTATCTTCATCGGCAACAAATTTCGATTTTTTTGGAGTACTATGGTTACTGTTTGGTTTGTCTGCAAAAATTATTGTGTCGTCATTATCATCCATTACGGATTCTACAAAACAAGAAGCTATGTCTATAACAGAAGACGCATTCGAATGGCAGCTCTCACTGATGCTTACAATTTCATCCCTACTATCACAGGTTGCTTCTAAAATATTTTCATTTGCACTTATTTCTATAATTTCTTGGTCATCAGGTGAATCTGTATTAGATATTACTGTAGACTTCTTACACGCACTGAGGTTTTCTGAAGAAACCGTTTCAGAATTAATACTTTCCAAACATTTTTCGGCGTTCGATAAAGCCGCATCCATATTATCTAGACTTTCTTCACTACATCTGATTACTTTAATTTTCGAACGAGTAGTTTGAGACTCTGGTTCTTTTCTTTTTTTTTGTGACCTCACGTCTTCACTCAATATACTATTTGAGCTATTCTGACTGTCTTCGTCTGCCGAGTCTGCAACACATTTAATATAAAATTGACCGTCACTATTTATCAGAACGATCTAAATCTGTTAACAATTCAATTTCCCTATTAAAAAATACAATAACCACAATCCTTATTATAAATATTACTAATATAAAACTTAAATTATGTATTTAAATTTATACTATGAGATAATTAAAAAAAAATTATAATAATAATATTAATAACAGTTGTTATGAATAATAAGTAATGGACACCAGTTAAAAAAAATGTTGTTTAATAATATCAAGAAACCGAGAAAATATACGTACATTATAACATTCACTTAATAAAATTTAAAACATACTTACAATAACTACAATTCTTCACTACTCAAATTAATTAATGTTAATCAGGTAAATTTAAAGTAAAAATATAACGACATAAACAATTTTGTGTTTGCATAATAAACTGAGGTGGTGCACAGCGCCAGAAAAGCATAACCCAGAAATCCATTTTAACAAAAAAAAAAGCCAATTACACATTTTTAAATGCCAACTCCAAATAAATTAAGTCCTGCCATTTAGTAGACATACTTTTTTTTAGGTTTGTGTCCATCTGGTTTTAGAATATAGTATTATTCTGAAATGTTTAATGTAATAAAACAAAATTGAATTTGTAGGTTAAGCTTTTCTGGCGCAATATGCCTCAATTGTAGTTACAGAGAATATTAACTTTGAAATTGACAAAATAATTTTTAAATACCTTTTAGACGCAGAGCATCCTTTGCTACATGAGCAGTGTCTGTAATTGTTTTAATGTTTTAATCTTAGAACTACATTTAGTGCAAGTGAATCAAACTGTTTTAAAAACCAATAGGAATTCAGTAAAATGTTGATAAGATTTGTACTCAATGCGCTAATGAAGTTTTCTTGATGAACTTAAAAGGTATTTTTAAAGTTAATTTTCTCTATAACTATGACAGATTAATAGCAGATACAAATAGCAAAAACAGGTTCTTTTCTTTTAGTTTTATTTTATATTCACCCGAGTTTTATAGAGTTTAGACAATACAATGATGTACCTTTTTTTAACAGATAGTAAGATATAAATAGGTACTTAATTTAAAAATTGAATATGATTTCTTTGTATAACATTTAAAACTATAATTTACTACTTAAATAAATACTGTATAACACATTTGTGACATCTACTAATTAACTAGCTTTAACTGCAGATAGGTAACTTACAATAGTTTAATAAAAACAGAACTACATTTTTAGCGTAATATAAAACAGTAATTATTTAGTGTAATAGAAAAATATTTTTATATTTATAAAACACTGTAAATAAATAATCAATCATCGTGTAAAAAATGGAACGATTGCCTATGTCTGCCGGCTTCAGCAACACACTCGAGTTCCAACAGGATGAATGCTTATGCCCGCAGACCGAACGCCCAGAGAGCCAAACAACTGACCTAATGGCTAACTTGAAGCTGATATTTAAGGAATAAAAGCGAGAATGAAGCACAATAGGGGTATATCTGGATACTACCTATAGACTCCCTTTATAAAGAAGTAGTAACTTATATGTCTGTAGAAGCATGAATAACATTGATAAATCAATAAACTTATGGTTGTACAATGCTAGCTCTACACTCTCGCGCCAAAAACCCACACGGAAAGGAGCAACAGCGAAGCAAGGCATAGAGGAATGTGCACCTTGACTACACCCTAGACACGGCAAGAGTGTAGAGCTAGCATAATATTTAAGTATTTGTTGAGATTGTGCGACACTCTTTTATGTATAATAATAATTATGTAAGGACATGGACATAGAGTGTTCTAGTAACTACTAGCTTAAGCAGTTAGAATTTTACTTTATGTTGAACATTTATACTTATTGTTTTTAATTATTTAAATTGTTTTATAAGTGTACTTTAAGCGAGTAAACTCGCTATATTAAACTCGCTAATAATTAAATTTATCATTTACATGATAAATTTAATTATTTTGTGTCAATGTAAATTTTTAAGTAACCTGATGTTGGTGAAACTAGTAATTATCAATAAAATACTTTTAACACTCAATAGTCCATGGGTCTCAATATCCATGTTTTTGCATAATTATTAAATACTGAAGTGTTAGCAGTTGAAATAGGTAGAATATCGGATAAAAATATTTTTGATTACTTTGAGACACTTTAAATATCTGCATCGCGTAAATATCGAAGTATTTCACTTCATCAATTATTAAACATTGCATTGCGAGCAGTATATTTTTAGGTTTTGAATATAAATAATAAGCATTTACCTAATTTAATTGTGATATTCCTTTCCAATTCGTTTTTGAAACGTACAGTTTGGACACCGGATACGGCTTTTACTATTGTCGATTTTCCATGAGCTACATGACCAATTGTTCCTAAATGTAACCGGGTTTATTTATTAGTATTACAGTTAGCAGACACACAACATAGTCGATGCTTGATACGAATAACAATTATTTTATCCAAAATTTGAAAATTGCCATCTACGTTACCTATGTTGATGGTAGCTTGACGACTGATAACTTCGGGCGACGACGGTGTCAATTTGGTAACGTCCTAAAGTCAAAAGCACTAGCGTGAAATATATTTTACAAGAGACATTTTTATGAGAACTCGGTACGTACCAAATTGGAAAGGTCTTGTTCCTTAAGCTTGCCAGAAGCAGTATCGGACATGATGACTACAGGATTGGAATATTACTACACCGTAAAATAATATAATTATAAATATATGGCCCTTAGAAGGTAAAAAAAAAACACAATAGACTGGTTTCGATTAAATATCCATAATTGATGGATTTAACACTGCCGGGTTGAAAAGAAAAATATCGTCCGAAAGGAAAATAACTAAGCCCAAAAGCTCTAACGCACGCAACTCGTTGGAAAAGGAGGAAAACGTGATACGTGCTGCGGCCGGAGAACGCCGGACCACCACAAAAAGTGGGATGATCAGGAATGATGAAACATATTACAGTGTGGCCAACCGGTTTCGTGTTTTAGTCACACTGATCAAAAACAGACCTATGCAATAAACCCGCCCCGGTATTTTCCTATTAGCTACCTGAGCTTTTCTGGAGAAATTCAGAAATCAGATATTGGAACAATTTGTTTGTTTGATCAGCGTTTTTTCCCATACTTTAAATACATGATTTAGACAACTAACTGAATCCATTAAACAAGAAACGGTTATTAGACGTTAAAACCAATTGTCCTACCCAGGATGCAAATTATTATCATTTGTAATTATGCACAACAAAATTATTACCGCCGAGAGCAGCTACTTTCGAGTATGGCTATGGCATAAAGAGTCAATTTAAATGCTCTCCACGTTGAAAACATAAACTTTGTACTATGTTCACCTATACATAGAAATTTGTACTAAATAATCGTTTAAGCACCAATATCCTGTGGGTCATCAATAAAACTAGTAGTCTATTGAAACTGGAGCCCCGTTTTAGGATTTCAACATTTTTCTTACATTAAACGTTTGTGCTAATCTAATATTGAGTAAAATCAAAAACAAAAACGCGTGTATCAAACGAATAAAACATAACATAGTACATATTTATTGAATATAAATTAATAACAAAGAGTACAGAAAAAATAACACTAAATACTAATTATTTATATAATATTAATAGAATCAAAAATCTTTATTTTTACAGGAGAGGGACTTAAACATTAAAATTTCTACACTGTTCAATTTTTCTGTTGTCGGCTGATACTTTTTGTACATTTTATTTTGAGCGTTTTGGTGTAGGTAATCTTAACGTTATAATTTGCTTAATTTCTCTGGTGCTTTTCCTAATAACACTAAAATAAACATTTACAGTAATAGTGAATTAATCAAATTTTATGATTTTATATATTATTGGTATATAATATGGGTATATTTTCAAATATTGATCCATGATAAAAATAATTAATAATTTGGAGAAAAAATAATATTTATTTGATTGTAAAAAAAAATATGAAAACATGAAGTTTTTATTACAGAAACTTTTTAATTACATGTCCAACCCAATTGTAACTAAAATTGTAAAATCATTCTACCAAGTATAATGTAATGGTCATGCGATAACTTTCTAATTATTTTTTGTATTATGAATTGTTTTGACCAACTCTTTGAGTTGACAACAAAATTAAATTAAAAAAAATGATTATAAACATAAAAAATAAAAATATATTATTGTTTCTTTAAAGACATTTTTTGAAGAAAATGATTTAACGTTTAACAAGAACTATGTGCTTAAGCAAGGAGCTGAAATGTATTTTTTTTTTATCTTAGAACTCACAATAATATTTGATCTCTTTACAGATTTAGTCATAATATGTAAAAATAAATATGATAGTCAAAGTCCTTATGTAATAATATATTTCAAATCCGTAAATTCGATGAGTACTACTTCAATTCTAATTTTCAATTACTTATATCATTTGATGGGCACAGGGGAAAAACGGTAGTAGTCACATTATGAAAATTTTAGAGTATAGCAAAAACAAAGTTTGTGAATTCCTTTCCATTTTACATAAGAACAAAAAAAATCACATTAAATGCTATTCTAATAAAAATGTATTTATTTAAACAATCTATTGACATAAATAAATAAAAATAAATGGCATAAATAATTGAAAAAAACTATTTGAAGAAAAAAATTTTCATAATGTGACTATTACCGTTTTTCCCATGTGCCCTTTATTTGTTTACTATTATAATTTAAAAAAGACCTTATTTGTAAAAGCAACAGTTGTTCTAAGCACACTAGTGTTTATTGTGGTAATGTATAAACGGTCAGACAGGAGTAACTTATATTTTTAGGCAATATTATTGAAGTACACATACAAGACATGGACACAACATATTACTACATACATCATTATATTGTTTTCTTAAGCATAAGACTATACGATGATGCTCTTTGTTTAAACCAGTTAAAATGATACCTATAAATTAGAAACGGTGATAAGCATATTGAATAGCCTAAAAGCATGTGTTCCTTTAAATAAAACAAGTGTCAATGAGAAGAGTTTGCAAAAAAGGCGTAGACACCTAATGAAAAAATGTATAAGATTCTTGTAACTTAACTCTTCACACGGGTTTAAATTACATTTCTGAACAAGAAGTTTGTCGAATAAATGTATTTTCACAATAAATAATATCAATTAGCCCAAATTTAGAACACAAGACCATACAAATAGGTACCAACATAATTAAAAAAATTTATAATACCGTAAAATGGGTGAGTTTTTTTAAAGTCTAAATAAAAATTAAATTCACAATATTAGTCCTGAAAATGATTAACCATAAAATTTTCAGTAAAGTTATAAATGTATAATTTATACGCACTAATTGGGTTAATTGGGTTTTTTGTGGCCAAACTCTCATTTCTTGTACTATTAAAGCAAGGTTAATTTGATTTAATAGTATTTTCCTTAATTGAATTTCTGTTCAGGCTGCATAAAATTGTGTTTTAAAATGAGATAATGTCGAATTGTGATTTTTCAATCAGAAAACAAATGAAAAATATTTATATACAATAAAAATCAATATTTCAAGAATAGTTTGTATAAGATGTAAGCAATAACATATTGAAACAGTGAATCTTTAATAACCTTTGTTATGTACATTTTTTACATGTCTAGTTAAGTTTCCAGTTTTTCTAAAATCTTTACTACATATTCTACATTTATAAGGTCTTTCACCGGTGTGTATTCTTTTGTGAGCAATGAGAATGCTTTGTTGATTGAAAGCAAGTCCGCATACTCTACAAGAGTATGGCCTTTCTCCTGTATGAATTAGTTTGTGTCTAGACAAATTTGACTTCACAGTAAACGCACTGTCACAAATATCACATTCAAAAGGGCGTTCTCCTGTGTGAATTCGATTGTGATTGATCAAATTTGGCATGCGAGTAAACGCACTGTCACAAATATCACATTCAAAAGGGCGTTCTCCTGTGTGAATTCGATTGTGATTAATCAAATCTGGCATGTGAGTAAATGTACTGTCACAAATATCACATTTAAAAGGCCGTTCTCCTGTATGAATTAGTTTGTGTCTAGACAAATGTGAATTATCAACAAACGCACTGTCACAAATATCACATTTAAAAGGGCGTTCTCCTGTATGAATTCGTTTGTGCCTGGACAAACTTGACTTCTGAGTAAACATACTGTCACAAATATCACATTCAAAAGGGCTTTCTCCTGTATGAATTCTGTAATGTACTGTTAAACTACTAAGGTGTTTATAGGTTTTTTCACATAAACTGCATTTATACGCTGCTCCTTCAGTAGTGTCAATAATTTGATGTTTTATTAAATCAGCCTTTTTTTTTAAAGACTTGCAGTATGTATCAGGTTTGTGCAAATTATCAATGTGAGTTTGCATATGTTGGTAAATATGTATATTTAAAAACCATTCATGGCATATAGCGCATGTCACATATTTTTCATTAATATCATGAACTGATGAATTGTCCGAAGTATTGTTCATGTCAGTTGTACATTCTTTAGTTGAAACAGATACCTAAAACAACAATATAAATGTGGTATGAGAATAAGCGAAGAGAAGCTAAAACTTATATTACTTTATGATAGGTGTGGGCTGTATGCACACTTTCTAAGCAGGCAATGATATTACTTATTTGAAAAAAAAGGTCCCAGGAGTTTTACCTGAGAGACAAAGAACAGTTTACTTTATCTCTAGTTAAAACTAATGTTAAAACCCAGTCAACAATTTAAAAAATGTCTGTCAACGTAAAAAATCAAGACAAACAAAAAATGAATTTAATCGTCAATTGTGATTTCTGATAAAAGAAATGACAAATAAGATACAACATAGGTATAGTGTGTAGATATTTTACTAAATAGTATAACTCTTAATTGGTTTTCAAAATATTTGTATAATATAGAAAAAAATATATTCATTCATCTTTTTATCGAAGTTTACATATTTAATTATATTTTTTATAAATATATATTAGTACTTGGGTTATTTAAATCTTATAACACATCAATTTTTTTTTCAGAATAGTGAGTAGAAACTTCTTATTATAAATAATTAGTGTAATTAATTACTTGTTTTAACTTTTAAATGTTAGTTTCCAGGAAATATTGTTTAAATTGTTATGGTAGGAAACACTTAATTTAGGTTATTAGGTAGGAGAATATATTTTGACATGATCTTAAGCTTTTTGGCTTTGTAGGTAAAAAGAAATACATATGTTTCAGTGTTGCTTAAAAGCCTACAGCAAAATAGATACTTACTTTGTTAATATCGTTTTTCTTTTGCTCTTTTAAATGTTTAGCTAATTTTTTCACCCTAAAAAATAAAACAATATAATTAATAAACCAATAATTATGCATTGTACTATTTACAACAGGTTGATTTTTAGCACTTCTTAAAGTTTAAACTATTGGATTTCTTAATTCTTTGGTCAGCAACCATTTAGTTTTTTTTTTTTTAGAGAAATTGTAACTCACTAATAATTTTTTTTCCTTATTAAGAAAACAATATTTCTAAATTAATTAAATTTGTTTTTCATTTATGTTTTTATTCATTTTATACTATTAACTGTTTTAGATATCAAAATTTGCCAGCATTTTATGTTTCCATTACTTGAAAATATTAAATTTAATAACTAACTCAAAAAAAAAATTATTCAAAATGTTATGGTGATAAAGTGAAAAAAATTATATTTGAATACTTACATGTAATAAGTTGACTCACTCAAACCTAAAAAAATAATTTTTTTTAGTTATTAACTTTTATATTATTTAACGGGAGAAATATAATACATTATTCTACTAAAAGGACAGACATAAAAAAGTCTGGCTTCTAAGCAGTGCTATATAATATAACCATGTCTAGCATATACAAATATTGTTAACACATTTACCCACATTGTATTGAAGCGCACAATTTAAAGCTTTTTAGAAAAAAAACTATAAAGCGTTCAAAATGAGCATAAATTTAAGCATTACTTTCATTCTTACCATTTTGATTCACTGTAGTTTTTTTCTTTTCTAGTAGCAGGTCATTTTTTTTTTTATATTGTGTTTGTAATATATTTTCTTTTGTTAAAATATTCATACATGATTTGGGTTTTTGGTTTTCTTCGAGTCTCTTCTTGCCAACAATGTTATTTATTTCTGAAGACTGAAGTAAAGATGATGCCGTATTTAATTCCTTATATTTAATTTTTTTTGTTTTAATTATTGTTGGCAGACTAACATCATTATCTGTAGAATCATTTAAATAATTTGATGTGTTCTTGTTAATTTTTTTTTTTTTACTTGACTGGCCAATACCTGAAGGCCTTTGGTCAAAACTTGATGCAGCAAAATCATTAGTTTCAATATTGTTATTTCTTTTTTTCTTTATCATTTTTAATTTTAAAATGGTATTCAAATTGTCAGGCGAAATGTCTAAGGAATCAGATACTTTGATATCTGTTTCTCTATTTTTCCTTTTCTTATTTTTGTCTTTCTTTTTATGTGCGTCATTTTCTATACTCGTTTCACATATGTATTCTAATTTAGCATTTTCAATTTTTAAATCTTCATTATTTTCTCCCTTTGAATTTCGTAATTTAGACATGGTGTTCTCTTTGCTTGTCATAATTTTTAAAAGATGACTGACTTCATTGTCCATTCTATTACTTTTTTTGTATTTTTGTTTTCTTTTAGTAATACATGTGTCGATTTCTGAATCACTTATTTCTAACTCTTTAAGTTCACTTTTTCTTATTTTTTCTATTAATGTTGATGAAGTACAAAGATTCTTTTTTGAAGAAGTCTGACTAACACCATCATTAATGGTTTTCTTTTTCTTTGAGTAACTTTTAGGAACATCAAGTCGTTCAGAATAATTTAAATAAATAGATGTGTCATTGTCAATATTTTTCCTTTTCCTTTTGTTATCTTTTACTTGATTTAAAGAATGGCCAATATCTGAAGGTGTTTTGTGAAAAATTGATGAAGCAAAATCATTAGTTTCAATATTGTTACGTTTTTTTTTCTTTTTCCTTTTTAGTTTTGATATGGTATCAAATAGTCTGCCGAAATGTCTGAGCTATCAAATAATTTGATATCCGTTTCTCCACTTTTCCTTTTCTTTTTTTTGTCTTTCTTTTTATGTGCGTCATTTTCTATACTTGTTTCACAAATCAGTGCTAATGTACTTTCATCAATTTTCAAATCTTTCTTTTTTTTTTTTAATTTGGTCACGGTAATCTCTTTGCTAGTCATAATGTTTAAGAGATGACTGATTTCACTGTCAATTCCATTGCTTTTTTTGAATTTTTGTTTTGTATTAGTAATACACGTGTTGATTTCTGTATCACTTATTTCTAACTCTTTAAGTACAATTTTTCTTATTTTCCCTATTAAAACTGATAAAATACAAAGGTTATTTTATTAAGAAGTCTGACTAAGAGTATTATAATTGGTTTTTCTTTTTCATTGTGCATCTTTTAAGAACACCAGGTAGGGAAGACGTTTAGTAGATTGTGTATTTACTTTTCCTATTGCGAGACTAATATTATTCAATAAACTTGCTGCAATCCAAAGTTGAGTTTTTCATTGACTGACAAAATAATTTTTTCCAAAACTTTTAGATCTATTTAACTAAATGAATACTGAAAATAAAATACAATTCATGAAACATAAATATTTAAACACCATTGTTTAAAAAGTTAAAATGTGTCTTTTGTACCTATTAGCAAAGTAAATTCAGAAATACTCAATACATGTTAACAGTCGTAGCATTTTATTTTATGTTACTGTTTTTTTTTATTATAAAATATAAAATAAATAGTATTTTTTAGTGTTTTATATTATATTTTTAAAATTATTAAATTGGGATATTATTGAATGAAAATCAAAAATCATAATAGTTTGTTATCACTTATCGTTTTTCAAACATACTGATAAGAAAAATGCGGGGAAAATGATCAATTATGAATTGATTACAGTGCAAGAAAAACAATATTTATTGTATAATTGTACAATATATACTTGTATATTGTACAGTTCATGATACATTAATATTTAAATACCACTGTTTAAAAAGTAAAATGTGTCTTTACCAAAAACTAATTAGTAAAGTACATGCAGAAGTATTCAATACATGTTATCAGTCACATACAGCAGCAAATTATTATCTACAATAGGTACACATAAAGGCACTTCAATTTTTTTATTACAATTATATATATAATTATTTGACATGTTAATTGTTATATTTATTATTTTACTCTTAAAATGTTTAAATTGGAATATTAAAGAATGGAAATCATGTCGTATTGGTTATCACTTATCGTTTTTTGGATAAACTGTCAAAAAAAAAAAAAATGCGGAAAGAATTATCAATTATGATTTATGAATGAATTAAAGTGTATGAAAAACAACTTGTATTGTACATACATTTATATTGAATATTTAAATTTGTAACTCATTCAAACAAACATAGCATGTTTTATTTTCGAATGATGTATATTTTGTATACATTTCAACAATAATAAATATTATAAATTAACTTATTCAATAATAAGCGTATTTTCGCTGTATTACGGAAAGAAAACAATTATAAATTATGCTCATTAACATTTTAGTTTATTTTAGACCAAAAAGCCAGACACATTTTCGACTACACATGACGGTCCAATTTCAATTCTGTAAAGAGATTCGAGTTTTTTGGCTACTTTACTATGTTAGCGGATAAGCGGATTTTCATTTGAAAATTTCGGTTTCTTGTAATTAAAAAATTAATTTGCAATTTTTTTTTTAAATTTGAACTCGATGTTTTACATAAAAATAAAAAAAAATCAAAGTTCTGTTTCATACATTACCTAGTAAAGTTGCTAAAGAATTGAATGTCTTAACAGAATTGAAATACTGTTATTTATATTATTACAAATGTATTCTATTTAATATTTATTTATATAACTTATTGTGTTTTAATATCAATGTAAGCTTTATGACTTGTGATAATTGATTTGTGAGGTAAAAATACAAAATATAATATCAAGTATAAGTATTTGATGAAGGGTCTATGGGTAAAACTATTTGACATAACAAAACTTGATTTTGAGAAAACCTAATTTAAAAGTAATGTTGGGGGGTTTTTCTTCAGAGTACTGAAATTTACAGCTATAGTGTGGTTTTACCTAACATTGTGTTAAAAGCTAGATATTGAATGGCACTATTCTAACTAATTTCCCATAAATATTGCTTTTTTAAATGAACTGCTGTAAAACTAAATCATTTTTGTAATATAATATATAGTATAATACTTATTTAGTTCTTATATTTACTTATACTTTTTTAAAGGGTTTATCCAGTTGATAGTTCTAATAAGATGTATTGTGTACTATGTATTGAGTGTCTGTTTAAAATGAAACAAATAAATTAGAAACATTGATGGTCATATTGAATAGCCTAAAAGCATGTGTTCCTATGAAAGAGACAAATCAATGACAAGGGTTTGCTAAAGAGGCCAAAAGCGTAGCGACCTAACACCTCGTTATCAATACCTAACGAGAAAATATATTATGTTCTTGTAACTTTCAGGTTTAAATTACATTTCTAAACAAAAGGTTTGTCAAATATATTTATTTTGACAATAAATTATATTAATTAGCCTGTATTTTCATAATGAATATTATCAATTAGCACAAAAGCAAAACACAAGGCCATACAAATAGGTACCTACCGAGAAAATTACATTTGTAACACCGTAAAAAAGGTGACATTTTTTCTGAGACTAAATAAAAATTAAATTCACAATATTAGATTTTAAAACGAATAACTATACAACTTACAGCGAAATCGTGAATTTATAACTTATTTTCATTAATAAAGAATTGGTTTTCTTGTGGCCAAAATATTATTTCTTGTACTGTAGAGGTCAATTTGATCATACAATTGTGTGTTTTAATAAGAGATAATGTCAAAATAGGATTTTTTTCTAACATATATCATTTGAAACTGGTTTGCGAGTCCACGAGACAAGTAGACAGCAAAATAGGCAAAACTGTCAGAAATTAAATAACAAAACATGTATATACAATAAACATCAATATTTCAAGAATAGTTTGTAAGGGATATAAGCAATAACATATTAAAACAGTGGATTAAAGTGAATCTTTAATAGCATTTGTTATGTACACCTTTTACATGGTTACCTAAGTTTCCAGATGTTGTAAAATCCTTACTACAAATACTACATTTATAAGGTCTTTCACCGGTATGTGTTCTATTGTGAACAGTGAGATGGTGCGATTGTTTGAAAGCAAGTCCGCATACTCTACAAGAGTATGGCCTTTCTCCTGTATGAATTCGTTTGTGAGTGGTCAAACTTGACTTATGACTAAACGCACTGTCACAAATATCACATTCAAAAGGGCGTTCTCCTGTATGAATTCGATTGTGTATAGTCAAATATATCTTACGAGTAAACCCACTGTCACAAATATCACATTTAAAAGGGCGTTCTCCTGTATGAATTTGTTTGTGCCTGGATAAATTAGACTTGTCAGGAAACGCACTGTCACAAATATCACATTCAAAAGGGCGTTCTCCTGTATGAATTTGTTTGTGCCTGGACAAATTAGACTTGTCAACAAACGCACTGTCACAAATATCACATTTAAAAGGGCGTTCTCCTGTATGAATTCGTTTGTGTAACTGGACAAACGTGACTTCGTGAGTAAAGCATACTGTCACAAATATCACATTTAAAAGGCCGTTCTCCTGTATGAATTCTGTAATGTACTGTTAAACTACTAAGGTGTTTATAGGTTTTTTCACATAAACTGCATTTATACGCTGCTCCTTCAGTAGTGTGAATAATTTGATGTTTTATTAAATCAGCCTTTTTTTTTAAAGACTTGCAGTATGTATCAGGTTTGTGCAAATTATCAATGTGAGTTTGCATATGTTGGTAAATATGTATATTTAAAAACCATTCATGGCATATAGCGCATGTCACATATTTTTCATTAATATCATGAACTGATGAATTGTCCGAAGTATTGTTCATGTCAGTTGTACATTCTTTAGTTGAAACAGGTACCTAAAACAACAATATAAATGTGGTATGAGAATAAGCGAAGATAAGTTAGAACATATAGTTTGTTGATATTTTACTAAATAGTATAACTCTTAATTGGTTTTCAAAATATTTGTTTAATATAAAAAAAATATATTCATTTATAACAGTACTCTCCCTTTATCTAATTTTACAATATAATTAATCTTTTTTAAACTGTATTCTTAAAAGTAAGAACTAACTTGAAACGGTTACGTTTGAGAAAATATTAGGTATATAACTATTTGTTGGGACTTGAGGTTGTTTAAATCTTATAACACATGAATTTATTTTCAGAATATTAAGTAGAAACTTCTTATTAGGAATAATTAAAGTAATTTGTTACTTGTTATAACTTTTACATGTTAGTTTCCAGAAAATATTATTTAAATTGTTATGGTAGGAAACACTTAATTTGTGTTACAAGGTAGGAGAATATATTTTGCCATGATCTTAAGCTTTCTGGCTTAGTAGGTAAAAAAAAATACATATGTTTCAGAGTTGCTTAAAAGCCTAATAAATACAAAATAGATACTTACTTTGTTAATATCAATTTTCTTTTGTTCTTTTAAATGTTTAGCTAATTTTTTCATCCTGAAAAAAAAACAATTAAAATTATAAACCAAAAGTTATGCATTGTACTATTTACAACAGGTTGATTTTTTGCACTTATTAAAGATTGATTTAACTGTTGGGCTAACTGTGATTTTTTAATTTTTTGGTCAGCAACCATAAGTTTTTTTTAGAAAATTTGGAAAACTCACTATTAATTTTACTTTCTTTTTAGAAAAACAATATTTATAAAATGATTTCATTTTTTTTTAATGTTATTATAAAATTAATTGTTTCTTATTTACGAGTTTATTCATTTTATACTAATAACTGTTTTAAAGATCAAAATTTGCAAGCATGTTATGTTTTTATAACTTGAAAATTTTTAATTTAATAATTCATTCAAATAAAAAATTATTCAAAGTGTTATGTCGATAATGTAAATAAATTCAATTTTGAATACTTACATGTAATAAGTTGACTCACTCAAACCTGAAAAAATAATTTTTTTTAATTTATTAATCTTTATATAATTTAATAGAGAAAATAACATTATTATGCTACTAAAAGGACAGACATAATAAAATTGTTTTTTTTTTGCTTCTAAGCGCTATATATTCTAACCATGTCTGGCAAATATAAATATTTTTAACAAATGTACCATGTTGTGTTAAAACACACAATTTAAGGCTTTATAAAAAAAATTATAATGCATTCAAAATGAGCATAAATATAAGCATTACGTTCAATCTTACCATTTTGATTCACCGTGTTTTTGTTCTTTTCTGGTATTAGGTCAATTTTTTTTTTATATTGTGTGTGTAATAAATTTTTTTTTGTTATATATGATTTGGTTTTCTTAGTATCTTCAAGTTTCTCTTTGCCAACAAAGTTATCTGTTTCTGGAGATTCATGTAAAGATGATGCTGTAAATAATTCCTCATTTTTTATTTGTTTTGTTTTAATTATTCTAACATTACCCGTAGAATCATTTAAATAATTTGATGTGTTCTTGTTGATTTTTTTCCTTTTTTTTTCTTTCACTTGAATTAAAGACTGGTCAATATCTGAAGGCCTTTGGTCAAAACTTGATGCAGCAAAATTATTAGTTTCAATATTCTCTTGTTTTTTTTTCTTCTTCCTGTTTAATTTTGATATGGTATTCAAATTGTCTGCCGAAATGTCTAAGCTATCAGAAACTATGATGTCCGTTTCTCTACTTTTCCTTTTCTTTTTATGTGTATAGTGTTCTATACTTGTTTCCAATACTGTATCATTTATTTTCAAATCTTTATTTTTTCCTTCCTTTAAATTTCTTAATTTGGACACGGTATTCCTTATGTTTGACATAAGGTTTAAAAGATGACTGACTTTATTGTCCATTTTATTACCTTTTTTGTACTTATGTTTAGTTTTAGTATTACATGTGGTGATTTCTGTATCACTTATTTCTAACTCTTTAAGTTCACTTTTTCTTATTTTTTCTATTAATGTTGATGAAGTACAAAGTTTCTTTTTAGAGGAAGTCTGACTAACACTATCATTATTGGTTTTTTTCTTTTTTGTGCTACTTTTAAAAACATCAGGTTGTTCAGAATCATTTAAATAAATAGATGTGTCATTGTCAATATTTTTCCTTTTCCTTTTGTTATCATTAACTTGAATTAAAGACTGGTCAATATCTGAAAGCGTTTTGTGAAAAATTAATGGAGCAATATCATTAGTTTTAATATTCGTTATGTTTTTTTTTCTTTTTCCTTTTTAATTTTGATATGGTATTAGAATTGTCTGCCGAAATATCTAAGCTATTACATACTTTGATATCCATTTTTCTATTTTTCCTTTTCTTTTTATGTGCGTCATTTTCTATACTTGTTTCACATATTTGTGCTAATGTAATATCTTTAATTTTCAAATCTTCATTTTTTTCTTCCTTTAAATTTCTTAATTTGGACACGGTATTCCTTATGTTTGACATAAGGTTTAAAAGATGACTGACTTTATTGTCCATTTTATTACCTTTTTTGTACTTATGTTTAGTTTTAGTATTACATGTGGTGATTTCTGTATCACTTATTTCTAACTCTTTAAGTTCACTTTTTCTTATTTTTTCTATTAATGTTGATGAAGTACAAAGTTTCTTTTTAGAGGAAGTCTGACTAACACTATCATTATTGGTTTTTTTCTTTTTTGTGCTACTTTTAAAAACATCAGGTTGTTCAGAATCATTTAAATAAATAGATGTGTCATTGTCAATATTTTTCCTTTTCCTTTTGTTATCATTAACTTGAATTAAAGACTGGTCAATATCTGAAAGCGTTTTGTGAAAAATTAATGGAGCAATATCATTAGTTTTAATATTGTTATGTTTTTTTTTCTTTTTCCTTTTTAATTTTGATATGGTATTAGAATTGTCTGCCGAAATATCTAAGCTATTACATACTTTGATATCCATTTTTCTATTTTTCCTTTTCTTTTTATGTGCGTCATTTTCTATACTTGTTTCACATATTTGTGCTAATGTAATATCTTTAATTTTCAAATCTTCATTTTTTTCTTCCTTTAAATTTCCTAATTTGGACACGGTATTCCCTATGTTTGACATAAGGTTTAAAAGATGACTGACATCATTGTCCATTTTATTACTTTTTTTGTCTTTATGTTCAGTTTTAGTATTACATGTGGCGATTTCTGCATCACTTATTTCCAATTCTTTAAGTTCACTTTTTCTTATTTTTTCTATTGAAGAAGTACCAAGGTTCATTTTTGAAGAAGTCTGACTAACACTATTAATATTGGTTTTCTTCTTTTTTGTGTAACTTTTAAGAACATTAGGTTGCTCAAAATCATTTAAATAAATAGATGTGTCATCGTCAACATTTTCCCTTTTTTTTTCTTTTACTTGAATTAAAGACTGGTCATTGTTATCTGAACGAGTTTGGGGAAAAATTGATGAAGCAAAAACATCAGTTTCAATATTATGTTTTTTTTTCTTTTTCCTTTTTAATTTTGAAATGGTATTCGAATTGATTGCCGAAATGTCTAAGCTATCAGAGACTTTGATATCCGTTTCTCTACTTTTCCTTTCCTTTTTTTTTTCTTTTACTTGAATTAAAGGCTGGACAATATCTGGTGTTTTGTGAAAAATTAATGAAGCAATATCGTCAGTTTCGATATTGTTATTTTTTTTTTTCTTTTTCCTTTTTAATTTTGAAATGGTATTCAAATTGTTTGCCGAAATGTCTAAGCTATTAGATACTATTTTTCTACTTTTCCTTTTCTTTTTTTTCTTTTTCTTTTTATGTGCGTCATTTTCTACACTCGTTTTACAAATCTGTGCTAATGTAGCTAATGCAGCTAATGTATCTTCAATTTTCATATCTTTCTTTTTTTTTTCCTTAGTTTGTACACGGTATTCTCTTTGCTAGTCATAATGTTTAAAACATGACCGAGTTAAACAAGTTGAGTTTTTTAATGACTGTTAAAATAAATCTTTCCAAAACTTTTAGATCATTGTAACTGAATGAATACTGAAAATAAAATACAATTCATGATACATAAATATTTTAATACCAATGTTTAAAAAAATTAAATGTGTCTTTACCAGCAAAGTAAATGCAGAAATACTCAATATATGTTAACAGTAGCATACAGCAGAATATTACAATCTTTAAGCATTTTAATTTTATTTTTAATGTTAACTGTTTTTTTAAAATTATAAATAGTATTTTATATTATATTTTCAAATTATTTAAATTGGGATATTAAAGAATGAAAATCAAAAATAAAATTAGTTTATGGTTATCACTTATCATTTTTCTAACGTAGTACCTACTGATAAGAAAAATGCGGGAAGAATTATCAATTATGAATGAATTACAGTGCATGAAAAACAATGATTCAATATATTTTTATAATCAATTTTTAATTTTGTTACTCAGTCAAACAGAGAATGTTTTATTTTCAAATGATGTTTATTTAATATAAATTCTAATTCCGAACACATATTAACAATAAACAATATTATAAATTAACTTATTAAATAAGTAACGTATTATTGCGGTGGTACCGAAAGCAAACATTTAGAATTAAGTAATCGTGGATTTTATATAAATATTGTATATTATGTTGGTTTTCCTTCGAGTGTCGTGCTTCCCGCCAATCCAGAGATGACAGATGATCAATAATCAAAGATGCCGGTAATTAAAATACAATATAGAGTGATTACTGATTTTCCTCAACTTTTATTTAACTAAGGGTATTAATCGCCCTGTATATCTTAGAGTTCATTATGCAATTAATTACAATTGTATTTTGCATCTTGTATCACGATAGAGTTGTTTTTTTTTTTAGATTCGGTGTGGATTATTGTTTTTACAATGATGTGTTATTTTTGTCGACCCAAAATATTTTCCAAGTCGCTGAACCGAATACTTCATGTAGGTAGCAAGTTTATAGATCAAAAATTGTACCCGAAAAGTATTTTATTGGGCTAACAATTAAAAAAGTTCACCCCTTTAAAATCGGTAAAAAACGCTAAAAAAATATGTATATATTTTTCAACTTTAAACCAGTGCGTGATATAACTATAAATAGTCTTATTATTTCCAAATTTTAATTTAGTGTTCTTTGACATGGTATTATCAATATATGTTGACAAACCAAACACATATCAAAAACCCTTTCTCTAATTGGTAAGGATAGAAACTTTTTCCAGCAAACCTTCATTAGGTCTTAATGTCTAAAATTTTGACAGATTGTAAATCTAGAATGGGGCTGTAACGTGTACAATTTTCTCAAAAGTCCGTACTTCGTGGTCTAACTTGTTTTTTTATTAAAGAGGAACAGAACAAAAGAGAGAAAATACACTTTGACAGTAGTTAAGTTCTTGCAGCTTGCTATGTGAGATTCCTGTAGACCTGGGACCTCTCGGCCCTCCATCCCCATTATGATCTGAACTAATTTAAATACTTTTGTTTGATTAAAAATTGATTTCTGGCTAACTTTGGTGTGCTTGTTTAAACTTTAGAAATTATAGTCACCTGTAGATTTTATATTTTTAAAAAAAGACTATCTCTTTGCCATAGGAGGTGACGGTAGACGTTTTCGCTTTGAAAGTTTAAAATATCATAAAAACATAAGACTACAACTGTCGTAATTGCTATCTAACCTTATTAAAGCGTGAAATTGTATATGTATGTGCATCATATGTATTTTGAAGCAAAGTATATTTAGTTAGCTGTAGGTTAGTGTATTCATACATTGTATTATTTGCATTGATAAATAACAAATAAACTAATTGATTTGTCAATTCAAAATTGAAATATTTATTGTAGCTGTGTCTCAAATTTACAGTGGTCAAAGAAAATTGCAAAAAAATGTGATTAGGACAATATTTTGAATTAACACTGAGTCAACATTCTTGGTTGGAAGCACGAACTAAGATACTAGTATCTTAATTCGTGGTTGAAAACCTAAACAAACAATACTACGTTCGATATTGCATTTGACGTCACGCATGTTAAAATTGGCATATACATAATATATATTAGACTGTTATTTTTCCTACGGCTTACCTATTCAATCAGTAGTAGCATATTCAAACAAAAAATCCACAAAATCTCAGATCCCTACCTCAGTTTTAAGTAATTCCTTGTGAAATTTATTTTTGTATTTGATTGACACAGGAAATTATAAAATTTAATTAATTCTTATTTTTAAATGAAAAAAGATTCATGGACTATTTTAAGTGCCATACTTAAAATACTTTTAATATTTCCCGATAGAATTTTTTTTAGCAAGTTTCCAGTTTTATTAGTTTCAATGGGTTGTAACTAAAAACCCATATTGTTACTATAAACAATAATATTATGGTGAATTATCAGAGCTTTAAGAGGGCGTCGCACCGCCTATTTTTAAGGAGTAAAGTACAGGCAATTTTTCACAAAATCTTAATTTAAAGGTTAAACTGTGATGTGTAATTATTAGTTCAATAACTAGGACTCTCTTTTGGTAGTTAATTTATTTTTTGGACTATCACAGCGAGACACTTGAAAGCGATTTAAAAATGTTTTTTCATCTCTAAATGTTTAAGCAGACTGAAACAAACTCGCTTAATTTTGGTTTTAGAGTAAAAGCACTCATTATAAAATTAAAAGAGAACAATATTCCAGAGGGCAAGACGGTGCGTTTTTTCCATTATTCCAAGTACAACGCTCAATACATATATTAGAAATAACGACTATTTTAACATTTTTAAATGACTGTAACTTTTCAAAAAAAATTTTTTTTTTAAAAACGCACTGTCTTGCCCTCCGGAATATTGTTTTCTTTTAATTTTTATAATGGGTGCTTTTACTCTAAAACCAAAATTAAGCGAGTTATTTTCAGTCTGCTTAAACATGTTTTTACCACTGAAAATCGCCGGTGCGACGCCCTCTTAAGGATATTTTTTCATACTGTTAACATTTTGATGAGTTTTCAAGTTACATTTTTTTTTTAATGAAAAATTTTTTTCTTCCCATACTGAAATCTTAGGGATTTATCATTTTATTAGTCTACTATCGGTGGAGGGGGGAACTAAAACATTTTATATATAATGTATTAGAATGTAAAAACCATTTTTGTTTTACTCCCCCCCCCCCCATCGATAATAGCCTAATGAAATAAGAAATCCCTAAAATTTCATATCCCTAGCATAGTATATATATGTATGTATCTATATTTCTTAAAGGCACACTCCAATGTGGCCCCTTAGTTATGCTTGTGGTAATGAAAAAAATGCTTCAGCACGAAATGCGATTATTAATAAAAAGTATACAAAAAGTATTTCATCAAAATGTAGGTAATTTACCTATGTATAAAAAGTATTATAAATGGTAATTTTGCCCTCTCGGATGAGTCAATGTTTCCGGTCGAAAATCAAAATAGTTACATGGCTCACACATTATGCATAGTGTAGTTCATTGATATAATATAATACCTATATATTTATATACACATTATTGTGTTATGTAAATGCGACTTTAGTGTCCAACAAAAAGTGTTTCTATTTTTTGAATGGATCCGGATAAGATCGCCAAAATACAGAAGGAACAGTAAGTAGATAAATAAAGAAAAGGAACAAAAAAAAAAATAAAGGAAAAATAAACGGAAGACCCCTTCCCAAGAAGTATGGTTTTAAAAAAAAAATAAAATAAACCGGAGGCCAGTCAGCATCTCTTGTTCAATCCATTCTTTCGGTGCATAGGCTTAAGACACGCTGCAGAAAACACAACCGTTTTATATAGTATTTCCACAGTCAATATAATGATTTTCGTGGTGGCCGTTATACTTTTTTTTATTATTTTCTGCATTTTCGACATCATCACTCCTGACAAGTATCCTGTTGGTAAGCTTCATTACATTACAATATAATATAGATACAAATAATTATTGGTGTTTTTCTCTAAGCTCTATGGGGTATAACACTGGAATGGTTTTACCCATGCAGTTGGTAGATTTCCATTAATTTCTAAGACGTTTTTTATTTAAATTATTTGTATACAAGTATATATATTTTAATTTTTTTTTTTTTTGAAAATTATTTACTATATCATTAGCTAGTTATTAAATGTACAAATCCACACAAAGTTATTATGCTTGTATAGTATTTATTTTACACTTATATTATATTCTTATAATCACTACTAATTTATGGATATTACTGAAACGACAACTTTAAGTTGTAATTGCAATACTAATACCACTGTGGTATTACCACATGGCGTGTATGCATACATTACTTATAATTAACAATATTTATTACCTAAGTTAATAGCTATAGTAAACATAAATTGCAAACATTGCAGTTGTGATCTAATCGGTTAAAAAAAAAAACGTTTAGGTAAATCGTAGAGTATTTGGTATTTTTAATAGGTACATTTTCTAGGCGTGAACAAAATATATTATTAATCACAGCTGTCGGCTGGTGATTAGTCCGTTTAAAAGGCGTTTTCTTAGTTAAAAGGATTAGTGCCTGGAAATGACGATAAAAATGCAAATGATCTCATAGATAATATACTTTAAATACAATGTAGAAAGTTATTCTTGTACTGCTGGGCCTATCAAATATGTTGGGTTTAACAAAAAAAAAAAAAATCATCTACACCATCATAGAATAGGTACCTACCTACCGATTACAATAAAGGCTATTCAAGGCCAGAGTAGGCACCGAGTGTGTATGCGGAGCCCTAACTTTCATAATATAATATGATAATTAACTATGTTTAATTCGTTTTATATGTTAACACAATTTATGGTGATTGCACAATACAACGATATCTGTGTGAGTATTGTAGCATCCGTAAGTGGTACCTAATGGGTGTTGCTGACCCTACATATATATATATTATTATTATTATTACAGTGTGACGGCCACAAAACAATGCACCTGTTATCCGAAAAGGGGTAGCACCGCTTTGGGATAATCATTAATTTGAACGGCGCATACAAATAAAAAAAAACACACACACACACACGGTGTGGTTAATGTTGATGATGGAAAACGTTGACCTAGATGCCAGTTAAGATCTTGAGATAGGTCAGGTGTAGGACGCTTTAAAAAAAAAACCCTTACGCCGTGCGCTTACTTTTTAAAAAAGAAACCAAACGTATACATTATATTATTATTATTATTATTATTATAGGTGGGCCGGATGATCGGGTAATAGATAAGAAAAAATGTGACGGCGGGTTTTGTAACGTCTAACGGTCTGAACACAGATAACATACATATTATATATAGGTGTATATAAGTAAGTACATTATATTCTGGGATGTGCCTACAGAGTCCAACGTGGCCCTCGGTACCACGTAGATGATTCCAGCACCGTTATTTAAGTGTGTTTAACATAATTGTAATGTATTTTAAAACGTCTCGAGGAGATACCTATTCAAATGGTGGCATTCAGCTGTAGTCGTGTATAGTTGTCAATACGGCGTTTCCAGTAGGTATAGATAGGTATGGGTACTCGTTTGTGAATGAGTTATGCAAAACCGTTTAATTTTTTTACTATTTCCACCCTGTTCGAAAATTCGCTGTTCACATAACAATATTTGAACGAAACACACGCCTGTGTAATGTATTCCCGCTATATTATGTGTACAATAGATGAAATCCTGATTACAAATGCTCGAATGTGTGTATCTACAATAAGACACATATATTCAATACGGTTGTGTCGAAATATTTGTATCTATTGTAAAAGCAAAAAAAAAAAAACTAAACCTTACAATCCGCTGTTGGTTCTATCAACAAACGTTGGTCATATTTGCCATTATAAAAGAGAAGCAACTCCAATAGAAATGTCAAATAGAAAACATTGAATGAATACTTGTATTTGTTTTCCTACACATACATTTACAAAAAGCTCGTTATTTCAAAAATTCGATTACAAGGAGTTAATTCACTTTTACAATGAACGACACATATCGTACTGTCTGTATCTATTAGTACCTATATATAGGTATTATTATTATTTTCTTCAGCTAACTGAATTTAAATGTTTACAAGCTCAAATCAGTTAAGCTTAAACATTTTAAATTTAAGTTATGCCTTTTGAAGAAAATAAAATAAATTTCCTAGAAAGAAATGTTTATATACTTGTAGTTGCACAAATAATATAACTTAACGTTAAAATGTTTTCATGAACTTTTTTTTTACAAGTTTAAAATCAGTTGAGCTGATTATAGTACTGTCAATAATTTATATTAACATTTATTGTAGTTATAAAAAATATTGTAAATCTTGGCTTGGAAACGCTTTTCTATTCAAGAATTTAATCATTAAAATTGAAAAAAAAAACACAATCTAGGGAAGAAAATTTAAATGTATAAGAAGCCAAAAGGTATAAGTGAGAGGGATTGTATTATAATAATTGTCAAGGAGATCAAAATTAAAATTATATTTTTTATACGTGATGATGTTTATCAAGTTTTCTTTAATATCTCGTTTGAAAATTGATCGAAAAATATGTCTCGTTGATAAATACCTAATATGATCAGAAACTTTTTTTTCGTTTAAAAGCTTTAAATTCGCTGCTGGTCTAAATAAATATTTTGTTCGTTCGTTTTTGGAAACTTCAAGTATAAGCTGTACTTTTTCTTTAAGTATACATTGAAAAATTATGGTTTCAAATTGCAATAAAGCTTATATTTATATGTATTTGTGTACAATTCAAATACAATTATTAAGTCGGCAGATACTAGATAATATTAGATCGACCTACCTTTAAAAAAAACTAAGTTAATAAAACAAATTTTAAACTTAAGTTGTGCCTTTTGAAACAATATAAAATAAATTTCCTGAAATATGTTTCTTATTAAATTTTTTTTTCTTCGTAAGCCTTAAATCAGTTAAGCTATCAAACTGTCAATTGTGTTGCAACAAATAGTGTACATTTTGAAGACCTTTTCAATGCCTGATCAGACAAAGTTAAGTTAGCGATGCCGAGGGAAAAAAGTATAAGCTAGACGAAATAACTCTCCAAATGGGCCATGAAGTGGTTGTTAGGCTTATTATGTAAATAATTGTGATGACACGAATTTTTTGTAATATTATTAAGTTATATGTATGTATGGTAAACTGTGAATTATTAATATAATAACATCATTATGAATAATTATAAACACCAAAAATATATTATACAAGAAATAAGTCTTTAAAATTATTCGTACGTTTTTGAAATTATTTTGCGCGGGAAGTTTCCTTATCACTAACTAACTAGTTAGTTGTAGATAAGATAAAGATAAGAGTTTTATCTTATCTGTGCTTCTAGTTTCGTATGGAAACGAGTACTCAAAAATATTATATCGTTTAAATTAAAACGGTTGTTTAATATTTTTAGGGCCCAAACGGTTTCCGTTGTTTGGCAGCTATTTGGAAATCCGAAAGTTGAGAAAGAAATTGGTGTTCTACCATTTGGTTTGGGACCATTTGGCTCAGCAATTCGGTCAGGTGTTCTCAGTGAAACTCGGTCGGATCGAAGCAGTCGTTGTGTCCGGATACGATGCCGTACGCCAAGTGCTGTGCAAAGATGATTTTGACGGTCGGCCGGACGGGTTCTTCTTTAGGTTCAGAGCGTTCTACAAGCGATTGGGTGAGTATTTTTTAAAAAAATTTTTCTCTACAAAATCTTACAGCAATGTTCAGACACGGTCGTGCTTTGTTAGGTATTGTATTCGTGGACGGACCGGTGTGGACCGAACAGCGAAAGTTTTGCATGCAGCATTTGCGCAAAATGGGATTGGGCGGCGATTTGATGGAGAGGCTCATCAGCGAAGAAGTAAATGATCTGATGTTGGACATTAAGAAAAGAAGCAACGTAAGTTGAACTGGAACAATTGACAATGCCGTGTTGGTGGACGTTTTCTATTGTCAATCTTTTTTTTTTAGAACGGTAACAAACAAATCGAGGTCTACGGATTGTTCGACGTGTCTGTGCTGAACGGCCTCTGGACCATGCTGGCCGGCCAAAGGTTCAACCTTTACGACGCCAAATTGGCGAAGCTAATGGAACTAGTGCACGTCAGCTTTAGAATGTTAGACATGTCCGGAGGCATATTGAACCAGATGCCGTTCATCAGATACTTGGCCCCAAAGTGTTCAGGATACAGAGACATAGAACACATACTCAACGAGTTCTATTCGTTTCTCAGGGTAGATGATAATCTGATTTTGAAACACACAGGGTTTGTAATATATATATATTGTGTTTTAATAGGGGTCGGTGGAGGAACACAAACACGAGGTTAGTGACGAGGACGATTTGATATGCGCGTTCCTTAAGGAGATCGAAAAGAACAAAGAGTCGACCAAATCTTTTTCCGAAGAACAACTGCTGGTTCTGCTGTTGGACCTGTTCTTGGCCGGTTCGGAGACTACAGGCAGCACTTTGTCGTTTGTCGTTCTTCACCTTCTCAGACACCAAGACGTGCAAGCCAAAGTCCACGCCGAACTCGACGCCATGGTCGGAGATCGTGAAGTCCTGTTGTCCGACAAAAACAAGTACGTCTTTGGAGTCTTTGGATTAGTTTTGAGTTCTACTATATACTTATATTCGTGTAATTTTACAGATTGACGTACCTCGAAGCCACGTTGATGGAAGTGCAGCGACACAGTAATGTAGCACCTTTGGCCATTGCGCACCGAACAGTGCGAAAAACCAGTTTGCAAGAGTACATCATTCCAAACGTAAGTTGATTGCAGAATATGTTCGTTAAGGACCAAAGGTTTTGGATTAAACGGACTGTATATTTGATGGAACTGTTAAAAAGGGATGTAAATTATGAACGTTAAAATTATAGGATGTTAAATATTGTTGGACAAGAGGATAAAGTTGATTTTAAGAGATGTTTGTTTTAAGCGTAGACCTAAACTTAGAGATTTTTTTAAATTTTCATAGCTGTGTAATTTATAAATAAATTTATTTACTCCCAGTTTTCATTGTCTATATCAACCTTATATCAAACTCTTATACATACCTACTCATGACTATAAATAGGTTAATTGGGTAAATTAGTTAATTTAGAATCCGTACATCAAATGCATACAATAAGAATCCTATCTAATTAAATTTAAACGTATTTTTATACACAGCTCAGTTATTTAACTAGCACATGAAATGAAATAAAGAACAAAGCTCTGTGTATTAACACTTCATATATAAATAATTTTGACATTTTGTAATTTGTAAGCAAAGCATTTCTATACGAACATGATAAATTTCTTATTTGAGTTGATTTTGGTGGAGTATCACATACTTATTCTTAACATCATTAGAAATTTACACATTTTTTAAAAAATGTTTTTTAGAATACACTGATTTTGGCAAGCATTTGGAGTGTTCACATGGACAAACAACATTGGGGAGACCCCGAGACGTTTCGACCGGAAAGGTTTCTAGATGGATCAGGAAAAATAATTAACGACAGTTGGTTCATACCTTTTGGAATTGGTATGTTACTTACAAATATCATACTGCTTGTTACCTATAATTAAGATAACTGATAAAATAACCCATGATTTCTAGGCAGGAGAAGATGTTTGGGTGAAGTATTAGCCAAGACCAATGTGTTCATGTTTGTTGCAAAATTGTTACAAAATTTTGAACTCCGAGTGCCAAATGGAGTCCAACTACCGACCAATCACCAAGAAGGAGTCACTATATCTCCATCTCCGTTTTCGGCTCTCTTTATACCGAGACGACATCATTTACATAATCATCAAAATAATAAAATATAACATCGACAAACCATCTCGATGAATACCAGCTAGCTCGATAATCTTTAAATAACAAATAAATTAATATTATAATATTTATTTACCGAAGAGTGAAGAACTGACAAACATAATATAAAATATATAGTAATACTCATTATATAACATGAAGTGTAATGACTTATGCTTTGGTCCTGCAAGTTCATACATTTGCTTGTTTTTATTGAATGGTTCAAAATAATAGAAAACATGCTAATTTTAGTTTTTCACCAATTTATATTATTTAATTAACTTAGAATATATTTTCCAACGGGCGACAACTAAAGAAATACGCATTTTTAAACAGATTTAAAACATATTAAATGCATACTTGATTACAAGCTAAATTTGTTTTGGAAACATGTATTTTAGGATTTAGCAGCTAGTTATTTCCATATTGTATGAACTTCCATGGCCTAGAGTTATTCTATTTAATTAACCCTTATTAAATATTATTATAACACCTAATTAATATATTTTGTTAAAACCGTGACAAAAATTGACATTTATTGTACAGCTTGAGATTATTTTTTTACATGTTTTAACACATAACTTTACACATATGACCTTACCGCGTACAATAATCTTTAATTTTTTTGCCATTGGGTACGTTACAGAATACACAACATGTAGGAAATTATTTTAATTTATTTATTATTTACAACTACAGGTATACTACCTTAAGTGTGTATTAACTACATTATGAGAATGTAATAAACTAATTTATTATTTTAGTAAATGAAGACGTGTTTTTTTTTTGTCTGCCTCCAAAATTAAATGTTTTTATATTAGCATATTATTATTATAGGTCTATGATTAACGATTATAGTAGCCTTGACAAAGTAAATAGATGTGGTAGCAACTTGTGTTTTGCAAAATATTATTTGAATTTATAGTATAATGTCAGTTAGTGTAACTATTTGATTTGTACGTCATGTTTTTTTTATATTTGATCTCATATTTTTATACATGTGGTTGAACAATTAATCTACCGATTGTTAGAAGGGGGATTTATGGTGTTTCGTTTTAAATAACCTCGTTTGCGAAACATGATTTTTAAATAATTATTGTATAAAAACAAAGTTTTGGCGCCAATCGCTCAAAATTCCTTTTAAAAACCCGCACAACAAACATATTTAAAGGGGTTCTAATACAGGGGGGTATCAGGACACTGTTCGCTTTAATACAGTCAAAACCTTTGATATTTCATTACTCATTAGTTAGCAGATTAATCTTGTATTTTTGAGGTGTTAATTTAGTTTTTTGAATGTTAATTAGTTGCATTTTGCAAAAAAAAAATTCAGCGGTTATCAAAAAAGCTGTTATCACTATAAAAACATGACATAACGCCATAGATAATATGCTTATCATATTCCTGATATGCCGCCTTGGGTGATAACAGAGGATTTTATGAAATTAATAATATATTTCACATAGTTAATAATTTATGTTTATATGATATAATATAAATCTTTTACTGTGTATTAAGACTTTTCAGATTCAATTCATTGAATCGGTATTTCGTCATGAGCTTTTGAAGCATTCTAGTGCGGTATTTCACCGGTTCTTCTTCTATAAAATATAGGTACAATCGATTGTATCACTATGGAGAAAATGAACGATGGTTCAAGTATTAAATGCGTTCCCGCCATCAATTTTGTACAGAAAATTACTGTGTACGAATCGAAAACTGTATGTAGATTTATTGTTTTAAAGCGGTAATAAAAAAATCGAATTTAGCAACTATGTATTTAATTGTAGCGATATTTTGTCGTTGGATCGAATAATGCACGAACAAAGTACCGTATTTTAAAAATTGATCGTACAGAAGGCCACGACTTGATGGTTGTTGACGACCAAGTGGAGTATTCTGAACAAGACATGATAAATGTATTAAGAATGGGCATACATAAAAATTTGAGGTTAAATAAAATAGCATCGGCTTTTGGCATCGTTGGTAAGTATATACTAGCATTATACTAGCTTAAAATGAGTTTGCAAGGTAATTTAGCAAAATTAAAAAAACATTTTTTTTTTGTATTTTTAAGGTTTTGTCAGGCTGCTTGAAGGATTTTATATGATTCTTATTACTAAACGTCGAAGAGTGGCGGTTATTGGACAGGAAATAATCTATAAAATAGAAAATACATCCATGATATATATTCCTAATGATGCATATAGGATTCCAAATATTAATGAACCCAGGTATTTGAAAATTTTTCAGAGTGTGGATTTATCAAGCAACTTCTATTTTAGGTATGTTAAAAAAATCCATTCGAGTCGCTTAATAATTATAAACATAGTTTTAATTGTTTTTATTTAGTTACAGCTACGATGTCACTCATACTCTTCAGGTCAATTTGGCTATTGCTCAAAACATTCCAAGTATTAACTAGTAATTTTTACATTATGCTTGAAAATTGATTTTTTGGTACTTTCCTGTTTGTCGAGGCTACATATTATAGTACAAACGTATTAGTGACTGTTTCGACCCTAATGTGTTTCCGTTGTCCACTTTACTTTTATAAAACATTTAAATATCAATATGAACAAATTGGAAGTACCGTTAATTGTCGGTTAATTTATATACTGTAATTAAATAACTGTTATTGTTATTTCAGAGTCTGAAAATTCCAGTGGCGATAAACTATTTGTTACTCGAAGTAAACCAAACAAAATATTTGTTTGGAATGATTATTTATTAAAAGACGTCCGAGATAAATTGCATCCAGATTGGATTTTGAACATAATGCACGGTTTTATAAGCCAAACCAATTTGTCGATTTTCGGCCGTCCAATATATATTACATTAATCGCAAGAAGATCAAATAGATACGCCGGAACGAGGTTTCTCAAGAGAGGAGCAAATACAAATGTAAATCTATAGTTTCCGTAGCCTTTGACATATTTCACGTTGCCTTTTTGCCATAGTCATTAATGTGTTTTCCGATAGGGAGAGGTTGGAAACGAAGTTGAAACGGAACAAATAGTACAAGACGTCGGAGTGAGTTGTAAGAATTACATGTACATTAGTTCTTTCTTGCAAATGAGGGGATCGGTGCCTGGATTATGGAGTCAGGACATGACGAAAATGGTACCGAAACCGACAATTATATTTGAATTGCCCGATCCGTTTCATGAAATATCTGGTATTATTTCGATACAACGGTTTTGTTTTTTTTTTAATCATCACTACTTAACCTGTACCGATTTTTAGGTGCGCATTTCAATAACATCTACAAAAGGTACGGATCTCCAAGCGTTATAATTAATTTGGTTAAGAAGCGTGAAAAAAAAGTTCACGAGTCACAGCTAAGCGATCATTTATCTTCGTCCGTAAGGTATCTGAATCAATTTTTACCGCCCAGCCATCATATTCAGTATATAAGTTTCGACATGGCCAGAATGAACAAAAGGTTAGTTTTGATTTTGTCATAAATGAATTTAATTTTTAGTTTATTTTTGTCTATTTTTTGTTTTTTTTTTACAGTAAAGATGTAAATGTTATGAGACGCCTCGATGAAATAGCTCGTATGGCTATCAATAAAACAGGTATATACATTAATAGTCCTCGCATTGTAGCAAAGCCATCGTTCGGGCATGAAAAAGACGGCATTATTCTACAGACTGGCATTATCAGAGTGAACTGCGTCGATTGTTTAGACCGAACCAACACGGCACAATTTGCCCTTGGAAAGTGCGCACTGGCGTACCAAGTAATTTTTTTTTAAATTTAAATATCTTAAAACAACGGTAATAAGGTTAAACAATAGCGGTTGTCAAATTTTTGTTTTGTTTCTAGTTGTATTATTTAGGTATACTGGAAACTCCTTCGATAGAATACGACACAGACTGCGTTCGGTTATTAGAAGTATCTTACGAAGACCACGGCGATACGTTAGCCTTGCAATACGGTGGATCTCAATTAATTCATCGTATTAAAACCTATCGTAAAACCGCCCCGTGGACATCGCAAGGCAATGATATCATGCAGACGTTGAGTCGTTATTACAGCAATACCTTTTCTGGTTAGGTTAAAATTAATATTATTAACACATTAATAATATTATTCTCGCAGTATTTTTTAATAACCCATTTTTTTTTGGTCCCCCCACAGATACTGAAAAACAAAACGCGATTAATTTGTTTTTGGGATTGTTCGTGCCAAACGAAAATCAACCCGCAATATGGGAACAAAACTATGACTATTATTTACATCATCCAGAGACCGTGGTGTATTCCTCTAATTCTAAGTAAATATTTTTAATTAATTGTCACGTATTATTCGTATGGATTAAAATGTTTGCAATGATAATTTCTGTTCTGTTGCACAGCTCACCGTTGACTCAGTGGTGGGACGATTGTGTTTTGGATTGTTTGCCTCTATCTTGCATGGAGAACACAAAACAATGTTCTGAATTATATCCGTCGGTTACATTGAAGGCCGACGAACACGATAGTTTCGCTTCGTTCTACAGATTAGACGAGTTCAGTGTGATGTCCGAGAGTTATGCATTTGAAATAAATCATTCTGTCAGGTGTGTTCATATTTATTTAGGTTTAATTTGTTTTAGTTTTACTTTTGTATTCGAATATACTTGCCAGATTCAATAATATTTTTAACTATTATTGTTGTTGTTTTACACGGTATGTTTTTGTATTATATTTCAGAGATTTTATGCCAAATTGTGTAACAGATTTTAGTCCGTTTTCGATGAGAATCAGGCCGGGCAGAAAGTGGGAGCAAATATCGGACAAAACCAAAAATCCATCAATGACTGGAAGTTCTTCTACAAATTCTATAAATTCGAGTAGCAGGTAAAATCATTATAATTATTGTTAAGTATCGTTGTACTTTTGTTTTATTATATTATGTACAGTTAATTTTAACAATAATATTGTGTCGTAGTTGTGGAACTAGCGAAAGCGATGATGATACTAACTTTTCTAAACGCACCGAATCTCTTAACGCAGTGTCTAAAGAAAATTCGGCGACGTTCGATTTGCAAGTCGAGCAGATAAGTAACTATGGAATTAATTTGGCCTCGATAAAACCAAATGATATTGCCATCTATAAAAAGTAATTTCCCCAAGTGTTATTAAATGTAACATGTATAATTTTGCTTACAACCTACGATTTAAAAATACTTTACAATACATGAGATTTTTTTTTTTAATCATTCAAGGTATGTACTGATGGCGAGTAACCCATCGACTGTTATATCTGTCGTACAAAACGTTCAACCGAGGTACGACAGTTCGTTTAGCGTTGCCGTACCGGTAGTCAGTAGCTCTACTACACAACTCTACGCTTCATACGTAGAAAAGGGATTAAACGGTATAACCAAATGTAATGACGCTACTATATTTGAGTATAGGAATTACGTCCAATGTAATAATTAATGTATAATAATTATTGGCATAAGACAACTCGAATTTTTTTTAAGCAGACTATATCAAACTACTAGTTTTTGGTTGACAAATAATGTGCATTTTATTTTATTTTAAGAATAGTAACGTTGGTCATTTAAATGTGTTTGTATGTCATTTATTACTTTGATGTATTGAATTTGTTAAATTAGAATGAAAACAAAATTGTTAGATTTTTTAAAAATAATGTAGAACTATAATTATTTTTATATTTCTAAAATATTATTTAAAATCTAACTTATAGTATTATTAATTGCTATTTTTATTTATAACAGAAATTTTATTGTTATTTCAGATATTTTTTATCTATATATATATTTTTTTTATATTATGTACACCATATTTGTAGGTACTGTTTTTAATAGTCGTTATTGTTATTAAATTATTTATTTCCAATCAGTTATTGTTTTTGTTGACATCCAAAACAACAATATTATTAATTAAAATATATCTAAATAGTAAGGTATTATTTTTATGCAATTTTTGCTATATTTATTAGCAAGAAATACTAATGGCTCTCTAAAAGTGCTTGAGGTTATACAGGGTGTTTCACAAAATTGTGACAAAATGAAATAACTTTTGTTCTAGTGAATATTTTTCAAAGTTAATTTATACTCATTTGCGCTATAAATACACTGTTTTTATTGCTCTTAATTGTTTTACTTGTTTAAATTTTTTTAAGTTTAAGATTTATTATTAAGTACAATTTGTGCCGAGACCAGAAGAAAGGCACATTTAACATTTTTAACGTTACAAGAAAAATCTAAATAAAGTTTTAAATTTTAAATACATATTTTAATAAAAACCAAATGATTATTATTGAGTCACATAATTCACAAATTCTACAATGCATATTATAACATTTTTATGGATGTGCAATAAAATTTGTTTGAGCGTTAATCGGGGACAATTTTATAAACTCAATGATGAATATATTATATTACAAAATGTAGTTAACAAATGACAATTTAACAAGACAAGTAAGTAGGTAAATCATTGACAAAAATCTCCCAATACAGAGGATGGAGCAAATATGATTATTTTTACCTGTACAAGTTTTGATCAATTTTTAGGCCATTCCAGGTAAATGTATCCCCTTTAATCCCCCCCCCCCACTCACCCCCTCTGTTTTATATAGTTCTTGTGGATGAAATTTGGTTACAACAACAACATTATACTTAAACACATTTATCGACGAGACGCGGTTACCATAGTACTAACAAATGGCACATGGCAACCTCATGCTTGTAAGGAACGGTTTCCTTATAGACCTCTCACGGGTAATCAATATTAAACCAAGTACTGTTTGTGTGGTTCTTCTATTTGTCTGCCTGCTTATTTTTTTTTTTTTTTTGTTTACTTAGGTATTTGTTTTGTTAAAAAAAAATGTACAACAAGTCGTAGAGCCGACGGTCAAAAGTGTATTGAAAATAAGTGGAAAAAAAAAATAATGTCCAATTGCTAAAATGTAATAAATTAAACAGCCGCAATATATAATATCTAATACAGTTTTAATACCGTGTGTCGATTGTGTGAGTGTGTAAACAATGAAGAAGACAACACAAACGACCCAAAAGTTTATGATAGACAATAGAGGTGGTCGTCGATCAGAGGCAGTAGATCAAAACGATTATCCGCCACTTTTCAGTGATCACACCTGGACCAAATCCGTACCGTTTTGTGTAATACACATTTAAAAATATTAATACATGTAGATGTAGAGTAGAAGAGCAAAAAAAAACACCTAAAAAGAAATGGCACAGTGTAAAAAAAAAAAAAAATGCACCCTTACAATACTGTTTTAATAGCAATTGAAACGCTTATAATAGAACAAGGCCAATTTTTAAATTTTGGTTTTTTCAGGAGACAAAGACTTTATAATTTTACCCAATTTATTTACCTGCTAATGGGTCCATTTAAAATTGTAAAATTGGCCCTTTGTTCTAATCAAAACTATTAAAATTGAGAGTTTATATTTATTTAGTAACAACACTTGTTTTATACATAAAGAAATGTAACATTTGTATCACAAAACTATACATACATGGTTAAAAAAATATCAAAAAAGTGTCATATAAAAGGCAATATTAACTTTGAGAATATTACAACATTTAAAAGTAGTTATGACAATATTTTACTTAGCAAGATTTTTTTAATTTATGGTTGTACTTTGGTTTATAAAATACACTTATTAGGTCCAAGTTCTAGTAAAATAAAAATTATGTTTTCTTATTACAGTATACAATATGTTATATCGAATAATAATTTTAAAAAAATACATTTTTAAAAGACAAAACGCATTTTTCAAAAAAAGCCCAATTGGGCTCTTGTTTAGAACAAGTGTCTCAAGTGTGTTAACTTTGATTGTCATTAAGCATGTTCTTTGGTAATCATCTATTTTATTCCCTATTTGTAACAGCTCTTTATTTATAATTAGAAACCAGGAACTAGAGTTGCGCAAATTCTTATTCGAATACAGATTTATATTTGAATAAAACATTTTTTTTTATATAATATACCTACTGAATTTATATATATATTGTATATGTATTTTTTTTATTAAGGCTTCAATTACAAAGATTATTAGCGAAATTATTTAAATGTATTATAATTTATTATATTTAGGTATACAAAAAATGTTTTATAAAAATAATTACCTACTAAAAAAAGCACCATCAAACTATTTAAACGATATTTTAAAACAAATTATCCGAATAAAATATTATTTGAATAATTATTTTCAAACAACTTTCACTTGACTAATGTGTTATCTGGATACCATTTTATTCGAATGGTCCACAACAAGTATTTTACACATTAACTTGTCATACATATGGGTCAAAACACCAAATAATGTTTAGAGTGATCCCCATCGAATTTTTGGAAAATTACACTGCATGTCTGTTATGATGAAAAAAGTGTTCTCAAATCAAAGTCGTTAAAATTGAGTTTGCAGTCTAAACAGTTGTTTGTTTTTTTTCTTGTTGTCCAAAATTTGCGAATTATTCAGAGAATGCTGAGATGATTTTACATAAAATGTGTACATTACAAATTGGGTTAGGATCACTTTTCAAAATTTGAAAACACTTTTTTCATCATTTTGACTTGCACACATATATCTATATATATATATATTATATACTTAAATACCTATCGTTCACAGCACAGGGTTAACCAGATAAAGCCAACCGGATCTATCGGCCGGAACTATAGGCTGGAGTTGGAAAGGCGTTTGCGAAAAATCAACCAAGTCCGCGAAAAAGGGTTAAAAGTGAAAATTTTGGACGACCACAAGCACATTATTATAAGACGGCTACCTGCTCCAAGTAAAACAGGTACAAAACGCAAAGTCCAAAACCGAGAGGACGAATCAACAGCTGTTGCCAAACACAGACCAGGCGTGGTACCTTTAAAGGTTAAATACAACAATATCATATAATGTGCAATTAGTTTGTGACTATACTTGTTGTGAATATTGATGATGTTGTTGTTTAGGATCTACTGTCCGGCAAGTATCACGAAGAAAGGGCAAAGGTGTTGGCGGAAAGTAGAAAAACCGAAGAAAATAAAAAAGCAAAAACTACGAAAAAGACGATTTTACCACAAAAGTACTTACATTAAACAGCTATAATTAATATTGTATCTGTTATTTTTTTTGATCAACGCCTCTATATGACCTTTAGTTACAGGGCTTTTTTGCAGACTTGTGCCGCGTTAAATCCGGATGAACAATTAGATATACTGAAAAACAAATGGAGAAATGTGAACCGCAACCAAACGTTGACTAAAGAAGACAGCGAACGAATTAATTACTACTTGAACAATGTACGTTGGCCACTTGCCAGTTGCAAGGTTTTTTATATTTGATTGAAACAACAATTTTACCAAATCTTGTAAATACTAAAATATTATGTACAAAACAAGGATTTTGGCTATAAAAATTTGGTTGGGTATCGTTTTTGACGTCTCCATTCTACATAGGCTATTATTTGAATAAATCAATATTATGTTGTCTAAGATGTCTAAGATGCTGATGTTGTGTTTTTACAGGGCATTACAGACGATGCATACGAACGGTTTCCACAACAAGTATTGGTAAAATTAAAAAAAAATCGCGTTGAACTAAATCTTATAAAAAAGTGAGTAGACTACCGGATTTTGTAAGTGTGTTGGTACGGGCATTTTTAATATTAATTTCAAAATAAAACTTTAGTGTACTCGAATACTAGTACAGCAATACGCAAGGGCGACCGAGGGTGAAAATTTAAGAGGGGGACGCCTTGATTTTAGTTAAAAATCAAAATCACTATTTTCAAGTGTATTTTCAAAAATAATAATCTCATCATAAGCAAATTGTATTATACCGCATTACACATTTTTACACTCAACTAATTGAACACATGATTTTGGGATATCAATTGATTTTGACTCACAGAGAAGTTAGGGGGGAGTTGTCCTTCCCTGCCCCTCCATCTGTGGGCTTTATTGAACTAATTCAAAGTCTGTGTAGATAATTATTATTTAAAATAAATAGTTGTTTAAAATGATAAAAATTAAACAATCTTAAGGTATAATTGTACTAACATATATATATATATATATATATAATATATAAACCCGCAGTGGAAACCTAACGACTAAAAGCAAAACATCTATTTTTAAGCAGAGTTGTGCAAATTCTTTTAATAATCAAGTTTATTCAAATTAAAACGTTATTCGCATATTTTGTTTACAATTTATTCGGATAAAAAAATTGTTTTCCTGTATACAGGGTGTCCACAAAGATTAGACAAATTAAATTTATTTTTCTTAGTAAATATTTTTTAAAAATTATTTCATACTCATTTTCGCTATAAAAAACGTGGTTTTTATTGCACTTGACAATTTTACTTTTTTTGTTATATTTAAAAAAAAAAAATCAAGATAACCATTTTATTGAGAATAATTTGCAGCAAAAATGTTGACTGGTCGACAAGTAGTTATGGGTAATTAAATAAGTTATTTAAGTTGTATATATATATATATATATATATTAAAATAACTATTTACCGCACCCCACCTCCCGTCCTTTAACTTTTTATAACTGAAAAAGTAATAATCCAAAATTGCGGTTGTCGATCGGTGAAAAATCTCAGCAAATCATTCTCAATAAAATGGCTATCTTGAATTAAAAAAAAAAAAACTGTAACAAATATATTTACCTAACGTTGGCTATCGTTTACAGGCATAGTTTTATCGCTGCGAATTTAGATAACGAAGTGCGCCATAATTACACAACGGCCAGTCGTAAGATAATATTGGATTACATACTTAAGGATCCTGATGAGCTGAAAAGACTGCAAATCACAAAATACCACTTGCCCGAGCACCCGACAATGCTTGTTAGAGGTCCTGTACCGTGGCACCATATGACAGCCATCAAACGGGAACAGCTTAGGCACAGTTTGTACATTTTCAAAGAGCCAATTCTTATGTTGGACAGAATATGGGAAAAGTAATATAGGATGTTTAAAACCAAATTTTTCGCGTATATCATAGCTGTCTCGTTGTAGGTATTCCGAAGGCTTCATATTTTCCATTGATACGTTAAAAACGAACGGTATGCCCATCGGACCGGTTGGGTTGCAAGAGTTCCTCGACAAATCGTGCCGGCAGTTTAGAAGTCAGCTCGTTAACAAGTAAACAAGTTTAAATAAAATTATAAAACCCAGTTCGGTATATTATAGTCTTGTACCGCGATAGATGGTTGGTAGAATGTGCTGAGCTTTTTAAAGACACGAGGCATCTGTATCGAGATGTATTGCCTGCACGCGGAATGGAAGTTTCCAAGTATCAAGTCGACAAGTTTTTCGACTGTGTTTCGGCCACCATGTCCAGGCAATTACGACAGATTGTTTTCAAATCGTTAAATCATTTCATGGAATACATACACGACTTCAAGGTGAACACTGTTTAGGTGTAGCCCGTGTAGGTATATTTAACTCCGGTGCATTTGTTCATATTATGCGTTTCATTTAGGACGGCAATGCTCTGAATACAGAATACAAAGAAAACATGTTCATAAATTGGCCTTTTTTCATTTTAAAAGCAATACCCGATCCCAGTTCGACTAAAATACTATTTGAACCGTCTTACGAAGTGTGCTTGGATCTGTTGCTGTCAATCCCGAAGGAAATCGTTAAAACTGTCGAAGATATGCCCAGAATAGAACAGCTGTTAATAAAAGGTACTTGGTAGTTGTACAATAACTATGATCTACTCACTCACATATTGATCCAACGTGACGGTCAAAACTCAGAGTATAATCATCCAATTGTATAGAGTTAAAAGGCGATTCAACGATGGTCCTAAAGAATGTGTACGAGTCCGAAGAAGAAGTACAAACCATGCTGTTGGAAATCAGACAAATATTAGAAAACAATTTTCCAGGTCCAGAAAAATACATAACTTATTATCAAACGTACACATATTTGATAGACGGAACTGAAGCCAAATTGCTGGATGATTTTTTTTCGATTGAACCGTTTCCTTTATTAAACGTTTGTCGTTTTAAATTATTTACTTAATATACTTTAAAACTGATCTAAACAAATTTAGTTATTATTTATTTAAATGGATTACCGTTTAGGACTTCAACGATTGGGTCATTAAGTATACAACTATAAAAGATAGCTTTTGCAATGTAAAAAATCAAGCTCAGTTAAACTTAATGATGTTGGACGTGTCCGAAGTGAATCAGAACATAAAAAGTAACATTGACGCGTTAAAAAATAAAATTCTCGACTACTATATGAATCTGACTCGAAAAAACATATCCGAGTAATACAGCCATTCATTGGATGTAATAGAGCGATTTGGGTTTTAACCACTTTTTGAATTTTTTCTCAGCATAAGTGTTACGTTCGAAAAAATGGCAGCCAAGGCTTCGGAAATGCCGGACACTATCGAGGATTTAGTTGAGCTAAGTAATTATGTGACTGAATGCCGTGATAGCACACTGCTTAAAATGAAAACCCAGTTGCAAACAGTTGGAGAATATATAATGTTTCTTTTTGACTACACCGAATTCGACGGTAAACGCTGAAATATATGTGATCCAGTCTGAAACTAAACCCCGTTGTACTTACTGATATAGATGAAGATATAAATTTGTCATCACGGGTGTATCGGTGGCCACAAGAAATTGACCAATTCCTGGATTTGGCTACGAGCCGGGTAATCCAAAAGAAAGGCGTAGTCGAAGGCCAATTGAAAACTAAAAAAACCGAATTCGAGCTAGAGTATAATATTTTTAAATTATTTTTAAAAAAACAACAGCTTTTAATAGGAAACTAATGTGTTTTGTGCAGTCTGAAAAATCATCTGAAATTATTGGAGAGCCTCAAAAGAAAAGATCCGCCGATTTTGACGAATGAAGAAATAGCAATCGCATTCGAAGAAGTGGAACAGCTCACAAACTGTTTAAAAGAAGACGTACTCATAGCTAAGGTAAATTTTAAATCATTTACTCTTAGTCTCGACTCATTCCTTAATATTAGTTACTTTTTGAATTCAAGTCCAACACTTTTGATCTGTAATAGAGTTTATTTTCAACTGCTTAATACATTCTTATTGTTTACTCGTGATGGTGATTTAGAACATAAACTATACAGAGCAGTTGCTCGAAGTCGAAGTAACGCCTTACACACAACTTCACTCGATGGTGGCTGCCACCGAACCATTTGAGAGGTTGTGGAACATCGTTCGTGATTTTCATAGTTATTATGAAACATGGTTTAACGGTTAGGAAAACAAGCTAGCTTGTCCAAACGTTCTCCAAATGTTTATGATTTCTTTATTCGACAGGACCGTTTCGACATCTAAACGCGGCGGAAATCAAAGACACGGTGGACGACATGTGGAAGAATCTTTACAGGCTGGCAAGAACGCTGCAAGATTATCCGGGATCGAAAAGAGTGGCCGAAATGGTCCGGGGCAAAGTGGACAATTTTAAAAAATACTTGCCCGTCTTGGAAACGATTTGCAACCCCGGAATACACGAACGGCATTGGAATGAAGTAATTCCAAGGCTCCGACCAACGGGTCGGACTATTTATAATGTCCATATCATTTTATATGTATGTATTCAGATGAGCAAATGTGTCGGCGTGGCTTTGCGTCCAACCGAAACGTCGACATTGTCGGAAATGATCGAACTCGGTTTGATAGATCACATCGAAAGTCTGGAAGAAATCAGCACGACTGCGTCCAGGGAATACTCGCTGGAGCACAATCTCAGGAAAATGAAAGAAGAATGGCTGCACGTGGAATTCGAATGCACTCCCTACCGGGATAGCGGTGTCAGTGTACTGACATCTCTGGACGACGTGCAAGTGATGTTGGACGACCATATACTCAAAGCGCAAACCATGCACGGGTCCGTTTACATAAAACCGTTCGAAGCCGAGATGGACCGTTGGGAGAAAAAGCTGATAACGATGCAAGAAATCCTAGACCTTTGGGTCAAAGTAAGTGTGACCGTTTCGTGGTGCCACAGATTTGCGTACCTATGATTTTATAGGACCAACAGGTCTTGGCTATGGGCACTGAACTCAATATATTATGAAACGTGTATTTAATACACTGTACTACCTATAGCGGGCTACTTATGACAATTTCCACTAGTAGGAGGCTGCTATTTTGTGAACAGTTGTTTTAACATGTATGTTTTATCGCTGGGGGGTCGTTCAAATATTTGTCGTAAACGTAACGCTGGATGTCACACTCGGTGGCAGCGGAGGAAGGAGGGGGGAGATGAGATATAAAAATAGAGATATTAGAGATAAGAGATAAAAATATAGGTAACGGATTAGAGATAAGATATTAAAGATAAAAATAGAGATAATGCATTAAGGATAAGATATTAGAAACACTAGATTAGATATAAATATAGAGATAACAGATAAGATATGAAAAATACTAGATTAGAGATAATAGATAAGATATAACATATAAGAGATACTAGATTAGAGATAAGAGATAATCGATTTGAGATACTAGATTAGAGATAAAATATAAGAAAAAAGAGATTAAAAATAGAGATAATGTATTAGGGACGCTAGATTACAGATAAAAATAGAGATAATAGATTAGAGAAAAGAGATATAATATCTATGATGTATGGAAATATTGATATTTGTAGTAGTTGCAAAAATCCAGACTCAAAAAACAAAATTGATTTCCATGAAAACGGCTTGTTTAACAAAAATTTACAAAGATAATTTTTTGTAGGGAATTCAATTTCCTTTAAGAATATGTATCAATAGAATTTTTCAGGCCAATAATTTACGAGTTTTGGATAAAAAAGGCCATTAGTGTAAAAAAAACGTCAGTCGTCATGATAGGTATCTTAATGTTAATGGCTCTAACTATCACCATAATTTTTTTTTATCATCATAAACAATATTTTCATAGTACCGTTCAAAAAAAAAAAAATTGTTCGTTTTTTTTGGCTCAGTCTAATATACATGTTTTTTTTCCCATAATATATCATGGAAAAGTAACGTAGCATTTTTACTTTCTACGAAATTGGTACACAAAATGGCTGCCTCCCAAGTCGGGACGTTTTTTTAATCTGAGTACAAGGTTTATAGGGTGGTTCTTATTTTGCTGATTTCGAAATTTAACCGAGACGCAGTGGTCGGAATATGAAATTAGGTTGCCAAATAAAATTTTACAGTTATGTCGAATACGGCATAAGAAATTAAAATAATAATACTGATAGTGGAGAGAGTGATGTAAATTTGAATTATGGCGATTTGTTTTAACTTTTGAAAATAGGACCATTAAATGGATTTTAATATTTTTGTAACTCAGTCGGTTGGGCACTATGATTGGTGCTTCAAAGGCTTTGAGGCTTCAGGGTTAACGTCTAAAAATGATTTTGCCTAAAGGTGCAACGAATCTGGATGTACTTGGGTCCGATATTTAGCTCCGAAGACATCAATCGTCAAATGCCGGAAGAAGCGCAAAATTTCCGAACAGTCGATGCCATATGGCGACAGATCATGATAAATACAGTAAACAACCGTCAAGTACTCGAAGCCACAGAGTATCCAGACATGTTGCAGTTGCTTCAGAATTGTAACGTGATGTTCGAACAAATACAAAAAGGATTAAACGAATACTTGGGAAAGAAACGCCTGTTCTTTCCTAGGTATGCGATACGTTAAAAAAAAAACCCCCAAAAACCCGAAATAGGTGATTTAGTAATTGTAGTTGAACTGAATAACACAATGTTGGTGTTTTGTAGGTTTTTCTTCTTATCAAACGACGAGCTACTGGAAATCTTATCGGAAACGAAAGATCCCTTACGAGTCCAGCCGCATCTCAAGAAATGCTTCGAAGGTATTGCCAAATTAAATTTCACCAGTAACGTAGAGGTAATCGGAATGATATCGGACGAAGATGAAATTGTCAACTTTAACGGAATTATTTATCCAACGGATGCAAAGGTAGGTAATCGATTTCTATGTATATTCATATTTTTATTGTATATACAGGGTGTAATGTAAAGTTCTACCGTGCTTCAAAAGAAACATTCAGGATGCTCTATGGGTACAATAAATGGTATTAAATTTTTTTTAATTTAAAAATGATTTAAAATAGAACTCGTATCTCAAAATATAAAATAGTCTTACAGAAAAAACAATTTTAGATTTGAAATCAAGAGAAAAAATCTTGTTAAATTGATATGTAACATGATTTTTTGATATCTGGCCACACTTGCAGTGGCCACTGAGTGGCCGGCACGTGACCAAAACTAACATATGACATGTGACACATCATTTTGGGTTAGAATTTTATTCTCAATTCAGTGGTGTCCTTAGAATTGTTTTATATTAAATGGTGTGTCGCATGCCATGTGTTGGTTTTAGTCACATGCCGGCCAAACAGTAGCCACAATTTTTTAATGAGATACGATTTCTATGAGCTGACACCTATGTCTGGGATTCGGTCACGGGTTCCCAAACGATAACAAGTTGTCAAGTCACCACTATGGTCATGACGGTTAAAATGAGAACATCCTCGGTCCTGCATTACCCCGTCTTACGTATCTTTTTATTTTGTTAGGTTATAACCACATACTATATGAAAACAGATAGCTCACTCGGCATGTAAACTAAAGTCATGACGTCAAATGACTAAAAATGAAATCAGTGTGGCCACAGATTCAAGCATAATAATATCCCAGACTACCTAAATAATAAGAACTTTTTTAAATCTGTGACAACACAGTCGTGGCTATGTTATTATTTACTAATAGAAATAGCAACTAGTTTTCTAAATTTCAGGTATAAAAAATAATAAATAGGTAATAATTTAAAAAAAAAAAGTACTGAACTATTTAACTATAAGTCTCAAATGTATCAATACAATTTTTTTGTAAAAACAGTGACCTACTTTTGTCGTTTTTGAAATGACCGAACCAATTATAAACTGTATGTAATGTGTGATTATATTATGAATTTACGGTACAATTATCGCATAACTAAAATACAGTATGCTAGTACTAATACGGTTTACATTCTTTGTAATTTTTAAATTTACATACATTGAATCTTTATTTTTATTTGTCGATTTACTGCTTCGTGAATGTTTATTTTAATTAAAAAAAATTCATGATTCCTTCTCCTCGTGTTCCATTGAATATTGTTTTTATTTCATTGTTGACATACAGTTGACCTCCACCGCATTCTATCACTAATGGTCTCACCGTCGATTTGACCCCTGGGACTTTTTTGCCGTCGATCCAGAGTGCATCGCCTTTAAATTTTATGGTTAAACCACCTTGGTTAAAAACTCCATCTCCTGAAACGTATTCAATAAGTAAAATGTGTGTTATAAGGTAGGGCTGGCGGTATTTGATATTTGAATACCGGTAATACGGTATTTACCGAAAATACGGTATTTATCGGAAATAAGGTAATTACCGACAATTTTGCTATTTGCGGTAATCTTTGTAACTATCACATATTATAATATAATACAATATATAAGGTGTACATGAGTATACGTACATTTTTTATTATAGGAACGCTCCTCAAAGTTATTCAATGTGGTTGTTTCCCTAGATTTAATAAATAAAATTATAATAGTATAACGTCTGTAAATTTGTTGAAAATAGGATTTATGTAGATAATAAAATTAATAGTTATCAGATATGGAGCCAAAGAAGACGTTCAGAGGGTTCCTTTGAATTCCACGCTGGCTTTCCGGCGGCCACCTTTTTATTATCAGTTAATAAATATTTAATGTTGAAATTTATAACAAACAAATTTGAATTTAAATAAAAATTTTAAATTTATAAAGGGCTTTTCATTTTGCCATTCTTATATTTTTATTAATGTATAATCAATGTATTTTTTTTTATTTAATGTAATCTAATGTAACCCAATGGCCCTTGCTGCCGAGGGTAATAATAATAAAAAAAATTCTACTCAGTTGTATATATAATTATATTTTTAGTATTTTATTTTATTTAGGTAGGTATACACGTATACGTTATAATTTTTCATTTATTTTTGAACGAGGTATTGAAGAAAACTAATGAATTTTGTTGGAGTATGTTAGATGCAAGGCTACTCAGGATTTGGGAATCTATGAACTATAATCTACAACTAAATTTGATTAAATCTAGGGAAAAAATTACATTGAATCACTTTGAGGAACGCTATATAATATGTATCTATACTCTATATACTTTAAATATTATAATATAATATGCGATAGTTACAAAGTTTACCGCAAATACCTAAATGTCGTTAAATACCGTAATTTCGGTAATTACCTTATTTCCTATAAATACCGTATTTTCGGTAATTACCGAAGATGCGGTAATTATCGAAATTATCGGAAAATACGGTTTATCGGTATTTTGAAATACCGGTAATAACCGGAATTACCGGTAATACCGCCAGCCCTATTATAAGGTACGATAATAACTTGACCCCGAGGCCCTAGACTTACCCGTATGACCGAAGTTATTAAACTGCGCACGATTGCCAACATTGATATTATACTGCTCACCACTGTTACCACTGAAGTTATTGTACTGCGCACGATTACCAACATTGTTATTATACTGCTCACCACTATTACCATCGTTCAACTGCACACTAGCTGTAATGCCAAAGTCATTATTCTGCTCATCTGAGGTGTTTGGAGTGTTAGACTCAGATGATCCATCACATTCTATGTCACTACATTCTATACAAAAATATAATTACTTTAAACAAAATAATACAATGTCGTATTGTCATAAAAGAAACCATACGATTTGCTCATAGATTTCCTAAATAAATTCAGTTAATTTCTCAAAAAAAAACCTTTTTCTTTTTTAGAGAGAATTACTAATAAATTGTATACAGCACTGTACACACTGTAGCAGTATATGAATCAATTCGTATAATGTTCAAAAAATATTTTAACAATACAAACCTTATAATAGCATTTAAACTAAAAAACAGCGTAGAACTTGTTTTTGTAGTATATAATTTTTTTTTTTTAAATTAATATAGATATCAGATTTAAAAATGAGATATTAACTTTATAAACTACTTGGTTAATACAAATTATTTATATTGTCCTTATCAATCGAGTATTACGAAAAATAAAATATATATTAACTAAGAATAACAATGATTAAAATTATTAATCACAATTGAAAAACTTATCACGAGTAATAGTTTAATTTGTCATGTTTGAAAAATTTAATCGTGGAAAATAGAAATTTAATTTTGAAATCACAAGACGTATATTACATAATAGTTCTAACATATTTTATTGTGTAAAATATGGCTTATAATTATACTTAATAGTTTTTAACCATCTTTAATTTCCTATCAGAAGTTATTTCAAAGCTCAGTCATAAAAATTACTTTAAAAAAATGCTTCGACCACACACTATGCCCCCCTAACCTCATAAGGTTATTTTTTTTATACCAAATCTTATAATATATAGTTACTTTTGTTTTTAGAAAAATAACCACCACACCTAAAAGCAAACGTTTATGTTTAAAAAAAAGAAATTTAACAAGAAAACTCAACATTTGATATAATATTTCCAAACGGTTTTAAAAAATAAATGATAAATAAAAAATACTTACGCCACGTACGTTGCCAGACTAAGCAAATGAATAATTTTAATAGTTACCATATTGACTGTTTTAATTTACCGTTTAATTCCAATTTACTAAAATATTCGGTGTTTTCAGTACACTTATAGGAGCAAAGTCAACGTGCACGCAATATCGGTTAACACAAATTACAAGCTATGATTATGTGTACCATAACATATGTGTAATTTGTACACGTCGTCGTTTAGACATAACAATTACTACAGCTAAGGTTACTTCAAACTCGAAGGTTATAATAAATCATAGGTTGAAAATATTCTAGTGTTAAACATTTCAATTTTAGAATTTGTACACGTAGATATTTTGATATATATATTTATTTTCCAACTGCCGTTGTGAATATTCATGAAACCAAAGATATTAAATTTTTAGTAAAATAACGTGTAAAACCTACATGGGTATAAGATAGTTTTAATAGGTGCCGTGTCTGTAATTTTATGTATCTTTTTTTAGCTTCCATGCGGAGCTGAGAAGGTATTGTTTTTACTTTATTTTTTTTTTAAATATTTTGTTTTATGTCTGGACCCACGATATCTCGTAAACCGCTGAATTGATTTCTTCGTGTAGCAACTCTATAGATCAGAAATCGTACCTGAAAGGTACATTATCGGGCCAAAAATTTAAAAAAGTCACCCTTTCCCCATCAAAATCGAGAAAACCACCCAAAAAATTTACAAATTTTTCAACTTAAAATTACAACGCTCTATAACTTTTTTAAAAATAGTCGAAAATGTTCCAAATTTATATGAATTGTTCTTCAAACATAGTACTAGCGATTAACAAAACAAAAATATATCATAAACCCTTTCCCCCAGAAGGGATAGAATTTTTTTCTTTATTTCACTTTTTCTATCAAAGTTTTAGAGATTTAGATCTGAAAATTAGACCTAAGGTAGATCTAAAATAGAACTATAACATATACAATTTTCTCAATAATCTGTAGTCAAATTTTTTTTTTATTAAGGAAAAACCCCAAAAATAGGGTAAATTTACACTTTGGCCGTAGTCAGTTTCTAGGTTGCTATGTGCGAGTGAGTCAACAGTCAACAAGTAATGACATTTTTTCATTATATTGTTAATTATGATAAATGGGTGACTATGACAGTACATTTTTATAGACAGACGATCTACCCTTTTTTTTTTTAAATTTGATTTTATGAAAATAACGTTTTCCACGCGAATACCTTATAGCACTGTCAGAGTATACGCATCGCAAAAACTAATATAATGAAGAATTTAGTCATCGATGTACTCATATATATATATATATATATATGTTTTATATTATCTGTGATTTTTAGTTTTAAGTTTTCACTCCTCATTTACGTTAGAAACTCGTAAATAGCTAAGGAGATCTTTAAAAACAAACAGCATCCATGTCTAGTTTTGTATGATTTTTATACAAAATTTAAATTTATATTCTATTTTTTTTTATCTAGGATTTATAGTTTTAAATAGTCAACCTTTAATAAATACATCATTTTGGGTCAGAATTTTAATTTCAACTCAGTTGTGTCCTTAGAATTATTTTTTATTAAATGATGTGTCGCATACTATATGTTGGTTTTGGTCACGTGTCGGCCACTCTGTGGACGCAAGTGTGGCCAGCTACCAAAAAATCACGTTACATATCAATTCAACAAGATTTTTTCTCTTGATTTCAAATCTAAAATTGTTTTTTCCGTAAGACTATTTTATAACGAGATACGAGTTCTATTTTAAATAATTTTTAAATTAAAAAAAATTGAATAACGTTTATTTTACCCATAGAGCATCCTCAATGTCTCATTTGAAGCTCGGTAGAAATTAACATTACACCCTGTGTATATGTATATAAATTAAACCTACTTAAATATCTTCAATTTTAGAGGGAAAAAATGTCAACATTTGAATTGAAGTGGTGACTAAATATTATCCGAAAGTAAATGAAAAAAATATTTAACCTATTGGCTAAATTGTTTATTAACTTAAAGAAAAAACAGAATTTGTATTTTTTTAAATTTTATTTCATTATCTTTCCAACGAGCGCACTCCGAATATGGTAGCATCGAAACTGAAAGAGAATCAAACGGATAAGACAAAATAGCTTTGAGTCACCTCTAAAAATATTTTCCGATCAAGTTAAAATGTTGTCATTTTCTTTCTCTAATCCTAAACTAAAGATTTTTCGGGTAAAAAAAATGTAGTTTTTTGTTTGGTTTAATATCTATTAATATTGAACGGTTGGTTTCAAAAGGGTCTAGTGGAAAAATGGTTGATACAAGTCGAAATATTTATGATACAATCGTTAAGTGAAATCATCAACAATGCGACCAGGGAATACCAGCTTACTCTACGTGACAAATGGGTATTGTTATGGCCTGGAATGGTAGTGTTGTGTGCAGCCACTATTAATTGGACGGCAGAAGTCGAAAACGCTATTGGACAAAACATATTACCTGTAAATATGAAACACACAAAATTGATTTTAATTATTTCAATAATTAGATACTTATTGCAAAATATAGACGTACCACGACCAGAGCAATCAACAAATAGAAAGTATGGTGAGATTAGTGCGTGGAAACCTTAACAAAGGAGAAAGACAAACTGTGTGTGCTTTAATTGTTATCGATGTTCACGGTAATGTTATTTGCTACTTATAATATAATAAATTTCTAAATTCTAATCCAAATCAAAGTCGATTTTGGACTGAAACGGGTTTAGTCGAAACTTTAAAAAATAATTAGGTATTTTAATATTTGATGTTTAAATAGCCCGAGATGTAGTCAAGAGTTTAATTGATCTCGAGGTGAGCAATATCCGTGATTTTAATTGGATTTGCCAGTTACGTTATTACAACAAAGATTCGAGAACAACCGTTTCAATGATAAACACAACACTCGATTACGGTTATGAATACTTAGGAAACTCTCCAAGACTAGTTATAACGCCTTTAACCGATCGTTGCTATAGGTAAGCGAACAGAACGGACGAGTACTGGCCATTTAATATTGTTAATACTCCTTTGAAACAGAACTGTAATGGGCGCATTAAAATTACATCTCGGCGGTGCATCCGAAGGGCCAGCCGGTTCGGGAAAGACTGAAACTACAAAAGATTTAGCCAAAGCTGTAGCCAAACAGTGTATTGTATTCAATTGTGCCGACGGATTAAACTTCCAATCTATGGGAACATTTTTTATGGTGAGTTCAATTTGTGGTATATTATGCTATGTTTCAAGACGATAAGTCTACCAAACAAGGGTTCTAGAATTTGGATCATTTTTTTTTTTATAAATTGATTGAAGTCGGTAAACAAGTCTTACACGGTTTACGGTAACACATATATTCACAAATTGGCTTTGCCAATTGCTTCGAAATTACTAATATCAGAGGTTTGAGAAATCCAACATTCCTGTGGTCGTTCGTACATTTTCGCGTTACACTTTCACTTTCATTTAGAGATAAGAGATAATATATGTGATAAGAGATAAGTGATATGAGATTAGAAATATAAGATAAGAGATTAGCGATAAGATACAAGAGATAAGTGAATAAAAGAGACACAATATGTATTATTTTAAGCGGAGAAAATAACTAGGTTTTTTTTCGATACATTAACATTAAAATACGATTTAATTGATGATTATGGCCTATACGAGTAACGATTAAAAAAAGTACAATAATGTAAAAACAATAGAGTAAAACATTTATGTTCCTAAACTTGTACGGTTACCAGGGCTTAGCTCAGTCTGGCGCATGGGCTTGTTTCGATGAATTTAATAAAATCCAATTGGATGTATTATCAGTAATTGCTCAACAAGTGCTCACTATACAAACGGCAGTGCAGGCAGGAGTTGAAAAATTTATGTTTGAGGGCACAGAACTAAGTTTAAATTCCACTTGTGCCATTTTCATTACGATGAATCCTGGGTAAATATACTGAATTTAGTGATGTTAAACTTGCCTTTAACGTAGAGACATGTACAACTAATGCTTGTATCGATATACGTTTACTCAATAGATATGCAGGAAGACAAGAACTACCAGATAATTTAAAAAGTTTATTTCGAACTGTCGCTATGATGGTGCCTGATTATTGCATGATCGGAGAAATCAAGCTGTATTCTATGGGTTTTAGTGATGCCCGAAGGTATATTGAAATAATAGCATAGCTAGCATTGAAATAATTAAGTCGGTAATTAACATCTTTCCTGTAAAATTGTTCTGTGTTATAGTTTAGCCGAAAAAATAGTAGACACTTACAAGTTATGTTCAGAACAATTGTCGACTCAGTCACATTACGATTATGGAATGCGAGCGGTGATATCAGTTTTAAAGTCAATTGCAAACCTAAAACTAAAATATCCCGATAAAAATGAAGAGCAAGTTGTATTGAGAGCAATTTATGAAGTTAACATGCCGAAATTTGTGTTAGAGGTAAGCATAATAATGTATTGTGTGTCAATTTTATTTTACATTTGTAGAGCTGATTAGTGTTTCAATTAATCAGTTCCAAATAGCTGTAAATATACCTAACCCACTTTGGTAATCTCCTTTGATACCTTTTACACAATATGGTCTCAGGCTTTAAAGAATAATATTGGATAGGATTGTACACAAAAGAGATATTCCTCAATAGCTGAGACAGACCATTGCGTTTCCTTTTTTATAAATATGGAAAATTACTGATGTGCTCCAATCATTCGGCATCCTCTTTTTCTCCATATGTGTTTAACAATTCAACCGCTATGTTTTGCCCCCTGTCTTCTGGGCTTTTAATATTTCTAAATAGGATTAACAAGTAATAAGCATAAAAAAGTAGATACGCGTACAATGTTTATTGTGGTACACATAGTATCAACAGCTGTATATTTTACCGTTTTAGGACATACCACTTTTTATTGGGATTTACGGTGATTTGTTTCCCGGAGTTGAGTTGTTAGTATCGGAAAGAGAGGAGCTTGTGGAAAGGATAAAAATACATTTGGAAAAAAGAAACTTACAGTGTACACAATGGTATTTGAGTAAAATTATACAAATTTACGAAATGGTACTTGTGAGACATGGCATCATGATGGTCGGCGAACCACTTTCCGGCAAGACTTGTGCTTATCAGGTATTTTTTAATGCTTACAATTGTTTTAGAAACGCACCTACTCGTGTTATAAATGTATTGCTCATAGGTGTTGGCCGAGTCGTTGGGCGACATGCAGTTGAATCGAAATGCTCTTTTGAAAGAATTCAAAACGTCTTACAGAATTATCAACCCAAAAGCAATAACTATAGGTCAATTGTACGGGCAATTCGATACGCTATCACACGAATGGCACGACGGTAGCATATAATAATAATAATAACAATAGAATTTTTAATAGAAAATCTGGTTTTCAACGGAGAGTGGTAATACATTTGTATGCACCCGTTTAGGAGTTTTAGCAATTGCATTTAGGGAATTCGCCAAAAGCGCTAACCAAGATCGCAAATGGATTGTATTCGATGGACCCGTCGATGCGGTATGGATAGAGCACATGAATACTGTATTGGATGACAATAGAAAACTTTGCTTGATGTCCGGAGAAATTATACAAGTAATCAATTAAGTTTAGCTTTTTTCAAACATCTTTACTTTTCAAATATGCATTTGAGTTTATACTACTATGACTGTTATGTAGATGAACAGCAAGATGACTATGACGTTTGAGCCTGCTGACCTGGATCAAGCCTCTCCCGCCACAGTGTCTCGCTGTGGAATGATTTACTTTGAATCCAAATCACTTGGTTGGGTCTCGTTTTGGCACTCTTACAGACAGCTGCTGGTAAATAAGCTTTCGCCCGACCAACAAATTATGATGGACGAACTCGTCGAATGGCTCATACCAGCAGTTTTGGATTTTGTGTTTAGATTTTGCAATTTGTTTCTATCCACTTCTGAAAATCATATGTTTAACGTGAGAAACATTGTAGTAAACTTCAATTAAATTTGTATATTTAAAAAGTCGCTTTTGTAGTCTTTTACAAGGGTGTTGAACTCGTTGTTGAAAGAAGAAGCAGGCGTTGGAGTTGCTTCTATCTGGTTGACGTGTGTCACGTTATTTTGTATCGTTTGGACTATGGGCTCGACAATTAAAGACGAAAGCCGCAATAAATTTGACTTATTTTTTCGGAAATTAATTCAAGGCAACAATGAAAAACATCCAAAACCTGAGTCGTTTAAGCTCACCAAAAGTCATCTCTTTCCTGACACGGGCACGGTTTATGATTATATATATGATAAGAAGAACAACGGTACTTGGATTTTTTGGTCTGAAAAATTAGACCTGAAAAGGATTCCACCGGACGCTAAAGTAAATAATATTATAACGTTTCTGTACAATGGTTTAATAGTTTATTTTTTAGCTAAAATAGTTTATAAATACAGGGTGTAATGTAAAGTTCTATCCAGCTTCAAATGAGACATTCAGGATGCTTTCTGGGTACAACAAATGGTGTTTATTTTTATTTAATTTTAAAATGATTTAAAATAGAACTCGTATCTCAATATAAAATAGTCTTACGGAAAAAACAATTTTAGATTTGAAATCAAGAGCAAAAATCTTGTTAAATTGATATGTTACATGATTTTTTGGTATCTGGCCACACTTGCGTCCACCGAGTGGCCGGCACGTGACCAAAACTAACATATGACATGTGACACATCATTTTGGGTTAGGATTTTATTCTCAATTCTGCGGTGTCTTTAGAATTATCTTATATTAAATGGTGTGTCGCATGCCATATGTTTGTTTTAGTCACATGTCGGCCACTCAGTGGCCATTCGGTGACCACCCTGTGGACGTATATGTGGCCAGATACCAAAGAATCATGTTATATATCAATTCAACAAGATTTTTTCTCCTGATTTCAAATCTGAAATAATTTTTTTCATTGCACCCAGAAAGCATCCTGAATGTCTCATTTGAAGCTCGATATAACTTTACATTACATAAATAAATTAGTGTACCTATGTATCTATCTATGTATACACATAAATCCCCAAATCTAACCTGCTCAATTTAATATTGGAGTCAAGTGATCTACAGTTATAAGTAATCCATTGTTACAGGTAAATGAACTTATCATTGGAACAGATGAAACGGTCAAACAACAATATTTCCTCAATCTATTATTGAAATATGAAATCCCTATTCTGTTTGTCGGCCCAACCGGCACGGGGAAGTCGGCTATAGTTCTAGACTATTTGAAGCGTTTAGCAAAGGAAAAATATTTGATCAACGCACTTAACTTTTCTGCTCGCACTACTGCCCATACAGTACAAAATATAATCATTTCCAAACTAGACAAGTGCGTCGTTTTACGCAGTATAAAAAAAACTAATTTCTCTAACTATGTGTCCTTACTTTAAAAAGACGGAGAAGAGGAATATTTGGACCACCGGTTGGTAAAAAATGCATGTTATTCATTGACGATTTAAGCATGCCGTCGGTCGACAAGTATGGCGTGCAGCCTCCAATAGAGTTGCTAAGACAATGGATTGACCACGCTTATTGGTACGACCTCCAGGCCATGTCTAGAATCGACATACTAGATATGGTATGTTATAACAGTGTTTGTTTTTTGTAATACCCTTTTCATCACTACACGCTAAGGAGTTTTTTTTTGGTTTTAATCAATAGATCTTTATCGGTGCTCTTCGACCGCCCGGCGGTGGTTCTAATGATATCACTGCGAGGTTCACGAGGCACTTAAACGTTATTGGTATAACCCCGTTTAGCCGAGAAACCACGTCAAAGATATTCACTCAGATAGTCGACTGGCATGTCAGCAAGGGATTTCCCGAAGACGTCGCGCTACAGGGAAAAGTAACTAGAACGGTTAAATTTAGTCGAATAGCTGTTAGCGGGGTTTCAAACGGCTTTTGGTTGTGAAGTATTGGACTTATAGCGCTCTAGGTAGGGCTTGAATGAAAGAGAGAGTTGTCAAGTTTTGAATGATTGCCACCTTGACAACTCCTTATTTCATTCAAGCCCTACCAGAGCGCTGTAGGTCCAATAATTCACAACCTACAGGCGTTTGAAACCCCACCATTCTTCTTGATACACCTTATACTACATGTTTTGATCTTTTGACTTTATAGAATATCGTTGAAGCTACATTGCACGTGTACACAGAAGCCGTGTGCACGTTTTTACCGACTCCCGCAAAATCCCATTACACTTTCAACCTTCGGGACTTTGCCAGAACCGTGAAAGGAATGTTTCTGTTGCCCGCATCTCGGTGCAAAACCGTGGAAAAGTTGTTCCGTCTTTGGATCCACGAGACATGGCGAGTTTTCGGAGATCGGCTGGTCGACGAAGACGATCGCTTAAGATTATTCGAGATCTTGAAAACCGCTTCGTGCACTTGTCTGGGACAACCGATAGACGCGTATCTCGGCGATCTAATGCCTGCGGAAGAGAGCTTACTGAACGCCAATCACTTGCGAAATCTTTTCTACGGAAACTATATGGATCCCGACGCCGCCGATAAAAAGATCTACGACGAAGTGTGCAGCGAAAAACTGCTATTGCGAAACATGGAATTCTATTTGAACGGGTACAACGCGGTTTCTGAAAGTCCAATGACCTTGGTCATGTTCAAGTTTGCTATGGAACACGTGTCTCGGGTGAGTAGAGCACTTCACCAAGACAACGGGCACGTGTTGCTGGTCGGAATTGGCGGCAGTGGAAGACGGTCGGCTGCAAAGCTAGCGACTTTCATGGCCGATTTCGATTTATTCCAAGTCAGTACATTCTCGAGTTCACCTTAAAATATATGACAACACGTCAATCGGTTCATTTCGTTTTTATTGTAACTACTACTAGGTGGAAATAGTAAGAGACTACGGCAAAGACGAATGGAACGAAGACATTAAAAAGCTGTTAAGAGACGCAGGATGTAAAGGGAAACCGGTAACGTTCTTAATGTCTGACAATCAAATAGCCGATGACGGTTTCTTGGAAGACATCGACATGCTTTTGAACACTGGTGACTTGGCAAATCTATATCAGTCTGACGAGCGAATAGATATCCTAGATAAAGTGTCAAATATAGCTCAGAGTCTGGTGAGCGACTCCAAATTGTCAACTACTTAGATGTAACAGGAATAGGAATTAACTTGAATAAATACACGGTTTTTTATTTTCAGGGTAAAACCATCGAAACTACTCCAGTTGCTATTTATAACTTTTTCACAGAAAGAGTCAAGTCAAATCTGCATATTGCTCTTACAATGTCGCCGATAGGTGACACGTTTAGAAATCGAATAATGATGTTCCCCTCGCTTATTAACTGCTGTACAATTGATTGGTAGTTGATTAAAGATAAAACTACAATAATAAATATAGTATTAGTTTGTAAGAATATATTTCTTATAGGTTTACTGTGTGGCCCGAAGACGCTCTTGAAAAAGTCGCCCAATATTTTATACAAACAATGAATGTGCCCAGAGGTATCGCCGCATCGTGTGTGATGATATGTAAAGAGTTTCATTCAACGGTGACGGATGCTTCTACTAGGTATTGAAAAGAGTCTATTTTTTGAGTTTCGGATTCAACGATCAGCTTGTATGGTATACCGTAATGCGTTTTCTCAGGTTCTTTAATGGTTTGAAGCGACATAGCTACGTAACACCGACATTGTATTTAGAACTGATTAGAACATTTAAAAACTTACACAAGAAAAAAGTAGATGAAATAACTACATTGAAACAGAGATACCTGACGGGTTTGGACAAATTAGATTTCGCTTCCGGACAAGTTTCCATTATGCAAGATCAACTAACAGCCCTAAAGCCCAAGTTAGAAGAAACATCACTAGCAACCGAAGCTCTTATGGTCAAAATCGAACAGGACACGGTGAAAGTCGAAGCAAAAAAAGAAGTAAATCGATAAATATTGTAATTGTAATGTGTTGGACTACTAATCCTAATGACTCTGTTGTCTTAGATCGTCGGAGCTGACGAAGCTCTCGCCAATGACGCTGCAGCAGCATCGCAGGCGATTAAAGATGATTGTGAAAGTGACTTGGCAGAAGCAATACCGGCGCTGGAAGCTGCGGTTTCGGCGTTGGACACACTTAAGCCGGCCGACATAACAGTAGTTAAGTCGATGAAAAATCCTCCGTACGGGGTCAAACTGGTATTGGAAGCGGTCTGTGTCATGAAAGGTATTAAATCGGAACGAAAACCCGACCCGAGTGGGTCCGGTCGAATGATTGAAGACTATTGGGGACCTTCGCAAAAACTCATTTCTGATACAAAGTTTTTGGACAGTTTGAAAACGTACGACAAGGACAATATCGATACCGCAATAATGAAACGCATTCGAGAAAAGTATAGCTGTTTATGGTACTCGATATTCTATTGTTTATCATTAAAATTTGCGCGTTGTTCATTTTCCAGATACATACGAGATCCAGATTTTAATCCGGTTAGTATTAAAGCTGTCTCGAACGCGTGCGAAGGTCTGTGCAAATGGATCAGAGCATTGGACGTTTATGATAAAGTAATCAAAATAGTCGGGCCGAAAAAAGAAAAGCTGCACCAAGCAGAAACTGATTACGCTATGCAAATGGAAAGACTCAACGAAAAGAGGGCAGAGCTGGCCGCGGTGCTGGCCAAACTGCAAATGTTAAGAGACGAACTTGCTGAAAAAACCAAGGAAAAGAAGGAGCTGGAAAACGATATAGACCTGTGTTCTCAGAAACTAGCTAGGGCAGAACAACTTATCAGCGGTCTGAGCGGTGAGAAGAGTCGATGGAGCCAGACTGCCAAAGAGTTGCAGTTGACCTTAGATAACGCCATTGGAGATGTTTTAATATCATCCGGGGTGGTTGCCTACCTTGGAGCCTTCACGGTCGACTATAGAACTGTTAGTGCTTCAAGCCAATTCAAACTGAATTAATTATAAAACAATAATAGTACTTATGTGGAATTTCTTACAGAGTATCGTTCGAGGCTGGAACGTTTTGTGTCTGAATGAAAATATTCCTTGTTCGAAGCAGTTTTCATTGGTACTCACATTGGGCGATCCGATGCTCATACGATCTTGGAACATATTTGGTTTACCGGCTGATAATTTTTCGGTCGAGAACGCCATCATATTGTGTAATGCTACACGCTGGCCTTTGATGATTGATCCACAGGGTCAAGCGAATAAGTGGATAAAAAATATGGAAAAAGAGAACAATTTAAATGTCATCAAGTTGTCGAGCGCAAATTGTATAACCATTTTGCAGCTGGCCATTGAACGCGGTTTACCAGTTCTGTTAGAAAATGTTCTGGAACAAATCGACGCCACATTTGGTAAAAGAGGATTTTCGGACATATTTTTCTTTTTCGTTTTCAGCACACATATAAGAGTACAAAAAAAAATGTCAACACGTTTGTTATAGATCCTGTTCTGTTGAGAAATGTGTATACTCAAGGAGGAGTACAATATTTGAAGTTTGGTGAAAACTTGTTGCAGTACAACAATTCGTTCAGATTCTACATCACTACTAGACTCAGAAATCCACATTATTTACCAGATATTTCAGTCAAAGTAAATTACTTTAGTTTAGTTAAGAACACTTAGATGTCTACACAGCCAGTCTCGTAAAACATTTAAGTAGTTAAATTTAATTTGTTTTTAATATCTATTATGAAATGCATACGAAATTGTTTCCTGATAATTGCCTTACTTTACAAAAGGTGTGGTTATAACATATTATGTTTTGTTTAAATACAGATAACTTTGTTGAACTTTATGATAACTCACGATGGACTGCGAGATCAATTACTTGGGATTGTTGTGGCTAAGGAACGACCTCAGTTAGAAGAGAAAAAAAACGAATTAATAATCGAAAGTGCTCAAAACAAGAAACTACTAAAGGAAATCGAAGACAAAATACTATTTGTCCTGTCGTCGTCAGAGGGAAATATTTTGGAAGACGAATCTGCCATACAAATTCTTTCATCGTCAAAAGTAACTCGACGTTATTTCCAAGATAATTTTGTATTAATATATATTTTATGTTGATGATTTAGACATTGTCTGCGGAAATTCAAGTAAAACAAGAAGCCGCTGCAGTTACTGAACAAGAGATAGACGTGGCTCGCAACGTTTATATTCCTGTGTCCAAACACTCGGCAGTTTTGTTTTTTTGCATTTCGGATTTAGCTAATATCGATCCAATGTACCAGTACTCGTTAACGTGGTTCTTAAATTTATATCATCAAGTGCGTTCAACTCTATATTGTATACTATTCACTGATAAAAATGTAACATGAATGATTGTACCTTGTACCTTGAATGATTTACATCTACATCTAATAATAATTTTTAAAAAAAATGGTTTATTTTATTTTATTATATACAGTCTATCACAAAAAGTGAAGAATCTGATGACGTTACTAAAAGAATAGCCGTTTTGAATGAAAATTTTACATACAGCATCTACAGGAACGTTTGCAGATCGTTGTTTGAAAAAGATAAACTGATATTTTCATTTGTACTGACTATTGGAATTTTTCAATCGAAAGTAAAATTAATATTAATTATGAACAACGGTGAATTTTGTGAATTATTATTAATATAATATAAATATGTATGTGTGTGTAATAGGAAAAACTAAATAATGAATTGTTGACATTTTTTTTGACCGGTGGTGTGGATCTTGAAAATTCACATCCAAATCCTGTTTCCGAGTGGTTACCCGATAAGTCATGGACTGAAGTTGTGAGAGCATCTCAATTACCAAAGTAAATATAAAAAAAAAAACATTTTAGCTAGTTAGAAATTGGTAAACACCAATAGAAAAATTACATCAATTAATTAGATATGTTCATCACAGGTTAAATGAGCTGTCCAACTCATTCCGAACATCCGCTCGAGAATGGAAATTATGGTACGATTCAATTAATCCCCAGAACGATCCTATGCCAAATCCTTATGGTAATGTTGAAGGGTTTGAAAAACTTATAATTATCAAATGTTTACGATACGACAAAGTACTTCCTGCAGTTCAGGTATTGTTTAAAAACTGAATTATTACACATGCACAGATAATCATGACGACCCAGGTAATAATTATTCGGACCTTTTATTTGTAAAACTATGTTTTAGCAATATGTCATAAACAGTTTGGGACAACGATACGTCGAGCCTCCGCCATTTGATTTGGCCGATTCGTTTAAAGACTCAAATTGTTACACTCCTTTGATAATTATACTGTCGCCGGGTGCGAATCCGATGTCAGATCTGATTAAGTTTGCCGAAAATAACGCAATCGACCTTACTGATTTAATGACCATATCTCTAGGCCAAGGACAAGTAGGCTATTTATTGACTTAATTATTAAATACGTCCAATTATGCTGAATATGCGATAATAAAATAATACAGGGCCCTAAAGCAAAGCATATGATAACAACTGGCATAGCGACGGGTCGATGGGTTGTATTGCAAAACTGTCATTTAGCCGTGAGCTGGATGAAGGAACTCGACAGAATTTGGGACGAAGACATCATACCCAATCGAATCCACGACAAGTTTCGTCTTTGGCTTACTAGCTATCCCCACGGCGATTTTCCAGTCACTTTATTACAAAACGGTAAAATATATATTGTGCACAATACGGGTGACACGCAAACACACATTCACATGTTTGTTTTAGGGATTAAAATAATCAACGAAGCTCCTAAAGACCTCAAATCGAATTTATTGCGTTCCTATCAATCAGATCCAATAGGCGTTCCTGATTTCTACGATAGCTGTAAAAATGTCTCTTGCTGGAAACCTTTGCTCTTTTCGCTTTGCTTCTTTCACGGGTTAGTTCAAGAAAGAAGGAAATTCGGACCACTCGGATGGAATATTCCTTATGAGTTTGACCAAACAGACTTGCGCATAAGTGTTATGCAATTACAGGTAAAAAATTGAATATACATTTATACACTATAGGTTTTAACGATTTTAGAGATATCAATGGTCGTGATTTAATTAGATGTTGCTGAACGATTATGAAGAAATCCCATTTACAGCTCTGATGTATCTTACTGGTGAATGCAACTACGGCGGTCGTGTTACCGACGATAAAGATAGGAGGTTGCTTAATTCGTTATTGTCATTATTTTATAACCCCAGAGTCATTGCAGAAGAATCGTAAGTAGAACACAATAGACAATTGTTATAACATTACAATGGAATTATTTCAAATATTTCATTTACTCTCATCTCAATTGTCCGATATAAATTTGAACTCTCAAGAAATCTATTTTTGCATACCTTTCCTCATTTCTTCCCTCTAGATATTTAATCTCATATTTATAATCTATTATCAGTTTACTTTTGTCAATTTGTTTGCAAGTTATACATTCTCGACGAGTGGCGTTTACCACGTTCCCAAAGACACTACTCGTGAGGGATGTTTGAGTTACCTAAATTCATTGCCTACGAATGATCAACCAGAAGTATTTGGATTACACGAGAATGCAAATATAACAAAGAATAATAACGAAACAAATATGGTACATATTTTCGTATTATCTAAAGAAGCTAACGCAAATCTCGTTGAAAAAATGTTCAAATTAGAATATATATTGTTCATTTCAAAATTGTAGCTATTAAATGGCACAATTTCAACACAATCGCAAATTGTCGGAGCCGCTAGTGATGTGAATGTCGATGAAACATGTTTAGAATTAGCCAGCTCAATCGCTCAGAGCATTCCAAATATATTTGATGTTGCTGAGGCCGTTTACAAATATCCAACGAGATATGAACAATCAATGAATACTGTTATTCGACAGGTTAGGATCTACCTATACTCAAACGCTGTCATTAAAACGGTCGAGCATCGATAACAGCCAATTCTACATTTTAGGAACTAATACGTTTCAATAAACTGCTGAACGTTATCAAAAAGTCATTAGCAGAGATCCAAAAAGCAATAAAGGGTGTTGTCGTCATGTCAGCCGACTTGGAAGAACTTCACACAAGTTTAGCCGTTGGTCGCGTTCCGGCCAGTTGGCTAAGCAAATCATACCCGTCGCTAAAACCATTAGGCGGTTATGTAGCCGACTTGTTAAAGAGGTAATAGAGTATAAAAAAAAAATGATAAATAAAAAAAAACGAGATAAAAATGATTATAAACTGTTGTTTTATATTATAATTATATGAAAATCGACTCTGTTTAGACTGAAGTTCTTTCAAAATTGGCTCGACAAAGGTGTACCAGTTATATTTTGGCTTTCTGGGTTTTATTTTCCTCAATCTTTTCTGTCGGGTGTACTGCAAAATTTCGCACGAAAACATAAGATACCTATCGGCCAACTTGGATTCCAATTTGAAATTACCGTATACGAAACGGACGAGGACTTTGAAACTAAACCAGTCTGGAGAGCTTACTGTCGGGTAAAACATTGTTTCTTAATGATATAATATTATAGAAAATAAATTGTATTAACAAAGTAACATAATATGATTTATTCGATTAAAATAAATATTATGCGTATAATTGTGCGTTGAAAATGTTGCTACACTTTTTCATGCTATCGTCTAAAGGAGAAGTCCAGTGAAGAAGAATTTGGAGTCTTTGTAAAGGTTGGGTATAGTTATTAAAATTGTATTTCATTGATAATACTATTCAAATTATAAATCCTGATTAAATACACATTATATTATACACATTAATAATTAATTTACCGCCAATTTAGTAATAATAACTGTTGATTTTGCTAACAAAAAAAAAAATGTCTTGTCCAGTTTTTGTGTGTCTTTAGATATGTGGTCTATTTTTAGGGTCTATTTCTGGAAGGTGCTCGGTGGGATCGAAAATTAATGATGCTGAATGAATGTTATCCCAAAATCGTCCACGACACTGTACCAGTTATTTGGCTTAAGCCTGGCATCAAGGTGTGTATTTAATATAAACTATAACAGTTTTGAGTCACCGACAAAGACGGGACAGATAAACATTGACTCGAAATGATGGTTATCGTACCACAGCAACACCTGTACAAAGTTAAACGTGACGTTAAATAATAATGATACGTCTTGTACGACAGTATTTTAAAGCTTGATGCCGCACGAATATTGTTAAATGACATTATTTTATAAGTATCCTGTGGAATAGATTTAAATATTAGGTACAAACTTTATCTGTAAACATTGTCTTGTGAAAAAACTATGAATACTACCCCATAAAAAAAAGCCAGGATACATGTCTACAGGAGAATCATTATAACTGAAAGTGATTGTATCAGTTTCAAATAAACGCTTCCACTCGAATCTGTAGATGATAGAAATACAAAAATCATCTTAAAAGCTATAATGTGCTTAAAATTGTAATTATAGTGGATACGACTAAGGTCTGGGGTTGATCATCTGTCTTCAATCGTTTGTTACTCTTATATAACTATAATTAACAATATAGTGAAAATATTTTCAAATACCTGTTGACTGTTGATTCAATTCAATCAAAGCAATCTAGATATTTACTCCGCTGAAAGTGTAATTATTGCCTTATTTTTTTTGTTTTTTCTTAATAAAAAAAAAGTCTGTTTGACTAAAGACTTTTAAGAAAATCTAATACTATGTTAAAGCCGCTCACGCTAGAACAGACTGATTTTCAGAGCTAACATTACATAGTCCTAGAATTTCGCTTAAAAAAATAGAAATATAAAAAAAGTTGACACCACTTACAGGGGAAAAGGTTTTTGGAGTTGCTACATGTAGTTAGCGGTTCACCGGTTAGTATATGTCATAGGTCCAAACACACAAAAAAATAAAAATAATCACACATCATTGTAAAAGCAATACCTGTACTGAATTTTTTATGTAGCAACTCTATAGATCTGAAATCGTACCTGAATTGTACTTTTTTGCTCCAAAAATTTGAAAAGTTTACCCCTTTCCCCCTCTTCAAAATCGGAAAAAACGTTCAAAAATGTCGATAGGTATTTTTCAACTTAAAATTATAGTAACTTTTTTTTAAACTGTCGAATTAAATCCAAATATGTATGGAACATTCTTCAATTAAAGTACTATCCATATACTCTTGAAAATCAAAAATTCTTTCCCTGGAAGGGGTAGATACTTTTTCTATATCTCTCTATTTCAGTAAACATTAAGGACACACGGCAGACTTATTTTTATTAAGAACAAACAAAAAATAAGGCGATAAATACACTTTTAGCGTAGCAAAGTTGCTATGAATTAAATCAACAGGTTTCTGGAAAATATTTTCATTATACTTAACTGTTAAATACAATATATATATATATATATATATGGTTAACAAAGGCAACAAATTATCATAGACAGACGACCAGGGCTGTATACGATTAGGGTTAATCGTATACACACTCATACTAAAAATACAATTTTTAAGACATTCTTGACAATGTTTTTTTTTTTTTTGTTAGAAACATCATTACATGTTGACTAATAAATCAAATGTTCAATTTGTTTCAGACACAATTTTTAAAGAAGTCTTCATACGAAAGCCCTATTTATAAAACAAGCGCTCGACGTGGTGTGCTGGCGACCACTGGACATTCGTCAAATTTTATTATGTTTATAGATCTCAAGACTGATAGACATGAAAACCACTGGATAAATCGGGGCACTGCTTGCTTATGCCAACTTGACGATTAGAACAATTCTGCGGCGGCTTGGGTCACACTATTACGTCTGAAAGAGTTTTCAAAAGTATATCTGTATTTGCAATCGTTTTTACAAGGAATGCGTTTACAGCGTTATCAAACTAAAAAAAAATATAATAAAATATACAATTTCATTTAGAAAATTTAAGTATGGCATTTTGTTTTATTACATTTCGTACATGACGTTCAAAACAATTATATAATATTATAGGAAATTCGAATAGGTATTGTAGATACAGGTGCACGGGAACAGTGCGCAGGTTTATAGCTCCGTTAACAAATGCATTGACGACAATTGTTTTAGCAAGCCCAAACAATAATAATACGTTTGTGACCTGGTATAATATGTGCAAGTTAATCGAAGTTCGGAAAATGAAGGTCATAGACACGCGTTATACAGTTCTGATCCTTTTGAATTTCTGCAGAGCCGTCAAATCGAGATCCAGTCCAAAACGTTTAGTGGTAAGGTCGGACAGCTCTCGGATATAGTCGAAAGCCTGATTGCAATTGCGCCAGACCCATTTGTCGGTGTACTCGTAGTCGTACTTGAAGCCACGTGACACAATCAGCAGTGCAAAACTGTCGGTGGCCACGCCGGGCGGAAACATTTTCAATATACCGGATGTCAACACGCTGGCTTCCGGGTTTGCCCGTATAGCTTTTCTGGCCAGACTGTAGTCCGCGTGCCAGGATTCGTCGGCAATGGCGTTCATCACGGTGGTCCGGCTGAAACTCGCCGCGTAGCTGCACTTCAAACGCGTCAGCAGCCCTACAAAGTGTTTCACGATGGACTGCCAATCGCAGCTTTTCATCAGCCGGTTCAGCTTTCCCAGGACGGCGTCGTCGGTCATCGCGTCGGCGGATATCATGTTCGCGTAGATCATGGCCACGTGACGGTACAGGAACGAATCGATCACTTGGTCCATCTTCTGCAAGACCACGTCGTACCACGCCAACAGCGTCCTGTGGTCGACGTCTTGCCGGACGGTGCTGTGGTACAAATCCCACAGCGTCGTTTCCTTGGCGCTTATCGACTTGTAGATGTCGTTCACTTGGACGGCACTCTGCAACAGCATCTTCATGCCCGTATCATCCGACGACGTGCCCGGTTCGTTTTGCATGAGCACGCTGAGCGTCAGCCATTCGGGCTCCATCCAGAGGGTGTTGGGCGGTCGTTTGTCGTCGGCGCGACAGCCAGCCGACAGGACCTTGCCGTTTAAATCCTGCAGGAACACGTTCCACCGGGTCATTTGACTTTCGCTGTCCGTGAAAAACGACAACGAAGCTTGTTGGTCCGTGTCCAAGCCGAATTTGTCCCACAAAAACAGCACCAGTTTCGAGTACGGATTGTCGCGGTAGCCGGCGACACTCGGAAACACTTCCCAATACCGTTGGAACCATTTCCTGGGCACCACGCAGATGGCGTAGTAGGCACTGAGCAGGTCTTCGAAATCCACGTCTTTGTTGTACAGACAGTCCAGCGCCGGCAGGATGAGTTTACAATTGGGTATGGTGTTCTCGATTTGTTTCCACATGGCGTTGATTTTGGCTTTGGATTGTGGCTCGCCGCCGGCCGTCGGGTTGCTGGTCAACTTGTTCAGCTCGCTAATGTAATGCGCTTTCATGTCGACCAACATTAACGACAGAAAATGTCTTATCGTCACTGTCGGGGTGTTGGAAAAGATCCTACCGGATATCGTGTACACGATCCTGTCTTCTTTGCATTGGCCGTTTTCTGCGAGCACACCGCTATGGTTTATCACCGCAACAACCGTGCCGGGATCTATAGCTTTGCAAGCGCGAATATTGACTTGGAAATAGTTAGCATATTGAACGGCATAGGCCACCGTCGTCAGTACACTGAAAATAATTATTGTTTTCCACATTTTCAACAGCTGGTAGTTGGCTGCCAGGCTGACGGTGGAATAAAGTTGTAAAATATTATCCAAAACGCACTACACGATAGTTTTTCCACTTTATAGTAGAAAAAAATTATCAACTGGCGTGTTGCCGTCACTAAAAAACAATTGTATTTGTCTAGTTAAGTAAATAGGTACACCACATACGTGTGAATAGACGTTTACTGAATTATGAACAATTAAACTCTTAAAGTGACAAAGACAAAACAACACTTACTTGTAATTGAACCGTAAGTTCCAGTTGGTTCCACCTTGAAAATTTAAACCATTGTGTTACCTGTTAGAAATTTATTCGCACGGTGGGTTAGGTCAGGTTGCTCGGTGCCTATATAACCGGGTTGACCCAGTGTATTAGATTGAGACAGTTGCATCTTAAGTGCATCTTAGACAGCATTCTTGACTTGGACACCTTGTTCAATCTTAAATTGCATCTATTGGCTGCCTGTATTCTTGCTTTTATTTCCTTTCGTATTACATTATTCTGAGTTGTAAGTGTACCTGGGTACTTGAAAACCATCCAATGAGCTGTCGTCTACTATAACATAGTACTGTAGAACATATGGTGTATTGAAATCATAGTATATATTATATATTATATATGCTGGTCAATACTGTTGATAGGGTTTTAAAGTGTTTACACGGCTTGTAACTATTATCATTTCTGTTTTGATATTTGTACGAAGCGTTTCGCGTAAGACAAAATATCGATTTTTCTGTTTTTCTGTTCCGTGTTGACAGAATAGTTAAAATCAAAACTAATTACAATGGTGAACTTATTGGCGGCTGTGCTATTGGTCATATGTTCCATGTTGATTGGAACAACATGTAGGCCAATACCAGTGGATAAAAAGTTGCCTATAATGTGCTATGGCGACGGCTTCGGAACGAACATTCCAGTTGTAAGAAAGCCGGCCATTCTTACACTGGACGACTGTCCGCACTCAAAGAAGGTAAACACACAAGTAACGAACTTCTGCTAGAAATTTACATATTTTGCTACTCTCCGAAATCTATTTAAATATAAAATATCGCTTTATAAAAGTTACCACCAGAGTACAAAGCAATTCTCTCGGTTCTACAATCCCACCTAATTTGTGTACAACCCTGGCTGGAAGATAATAATAAATCAATGAATCCAAATAATGCTGTCATATAATTACCAAACTAAAACCGAACGCCCGCTTGCAAATACTTAAACGGTGCCTACACTATAAATATCAAAGCTATCGCTTCATACGACATTCATTTTGTACAAACTCCTCTTAGTCAAACCGCTATGGAATACAAATCTGGAGCTCTGAAAAACACACTAACCTGAATAAACTTCCAAGTATCCCAAAACGTAATACTCCGTCTTTTCTTACACTGAAACTTGCTAATCAAAATTGTTTATAAAAAAATATTTCACTACCAAATACGTGCCCGACAACAAGTATGTGATCTTCTCTCATCTTAAGTAAGTATCAAAACCCGTAAAACTACCATCATGTCAGTGGGCGGATTTTCATACATCATTTCTAAATGTTTATAAATCACTTGAGTACTTAACTTGTCCTTGACTCGTGTAGATCGTATATTTCAAATTAAGAAAAAAAAATATGTATGAAGTTGTATATTGTATGTGTTTAGCAGATCGGCAGAACAATAAATGGCTTTCCAACTGGCGATTCGATAGAGGCGTCAGATGAATCTATTGTGACCGCTGCTGAACTTACAGATCGAACACAGTATAGTAAATCTGGACGAATAAATTCTATAAGACATGCCACTATTATGTTGGCTAAACGTATAAGGGGAAAACCTAAGTTCGATCAAAGAAGTTTGCCAAGCACGCGGTACGTTGGTGTGGCGAAAAAAATACGAGAAGCACTCTCGTACCTTTTTACTTTGTAAGAAGGTAATTACTAAAGTGTACTAAAGTGGTACTTAAGTGTAAAACTAGTGCTACTGTAATTCATCAATAATAATAAAAAAATTATGTGTTAAACACACAAACGTGCACTTCGGACAGTCAAAATTGTGCAAATATACTTTTGGAAATTGTTCTGTTGATTTCCCCTGGAATGTCCCTTTTACCCAATATTTATTAAATATTGTTGAAAATGTCAGCGCCTATTCAAGAAGGATAAAATCCAAGAAGGTGTACCCGCTTACCATCTACTCTTCTCTATTCTATGCATGTTAGCCGCTGTCATCTTTAACAATAAGCTGACCTATGTGTATAATATATTATTACACTATATCAATGATATATTATAAAAATAAGGCATACTTTAGAACACTTTGTACACTTTAGTAGTTACCAAAATGTTTATATTTATTTAAATCTATCACAATTATTGTAAACATCTAGTAATATGTATTATGATTAAACTAATTTGTTAAAATAAACACTTTTGTTTCGATATTAATTTTTTAAAGCTGATTTAACTTTGTTACATTATTATACTAAAGTATTTGAACTGTCTGCCAATATAACTCGACCGGTTTGTCTTAACATCGGTTGTATACTGGTAAATATTTATGTTTGCATAAAAAAATGCGTTGAACACTAGTCAAACCGTATGAATATTTAGGGAGGCCGTAAAGTCACGGGCCGTACAAATACGGAAAAATAAAGTATTGTCACGGACCGTACGAATTCGGAAAAAATAATGTTACGGACAGCAAAGTGGCGGACCGTACTTTTACGGAATCCATAAACACTCGGACACCGTATTGTTACGGACCGTACAAACACGGAAAAAACAAAACCGTAAAACGACGGGCCGTACTACTACGGAATCTTAAATGACACTGACCGTATTAGCGAGGACCGTACGAATACGGAATCTACAGGGTGTATCACATTGGCCCCAACTACAATGGCGCTTCTTCACTTACTTTCAAGAAGCACACGACACAAAAAGGATATTTAGAATAGCCGTGTGACGTCATTGGGTCGAGATCGCCATGATTGTCTATCTTACACGTGTAAAGTAGCTCGCTTTACACAATGATTTGCTAACCTATACATTTTATTATTGATATTTCATTTACACATAGAGCTCATACTGATTATTCAGCATAATTTACATATTGAGCTCGGCCCAATGACGTCACGCGAATTAAACGTTCTTTTAAATTTAAAAAACTTATTTTTCGTGTTTTGTGCTATATTTGATTTGCAATATTTTC